AAACAACACAGGAATCAGGGAAAACAACACAGGAATCAGGGGAAACAACACAGGAATCAGGAGAAATAACACAGGAAACGGGAAACAACACAGGAATCAGGGAAAACAACACAGGAAACAGGAGAAATAACACAGGAATCAGGGAAACAACACAGGAATCAGGGGAAACAACACAGGAATCAGGGAAAACAACACAGGAAACGGGAAATAACACAGGAATCAGGGAAAACACAGAAATCAGGGAAACAACACAGGAAATGGGAAACAAAACAGGAAACAGGGAAAACACAGAAAACAGGGAAAACAACACAGGAAACGGGAGAAACAGCACAGGAATCAGGGAAAACAACACAGGAAACGGGAAATAACACAGGAATCAGGGAAAACACAGAAATCAGGGAAACAACACAGGAAATGGGAAACAAAACAGGAAACAGGGAAAACACAGAAATCAGGGAAACAACACAGGAAACAGGGAAAACAACACAGGAATAAGGGAAAACAACACAGGAAACGGGAGAAACAGCACAGGAATCAGGGAAAACAACACAGGAAACAGGGGAAACAACACAGGAAACGGGAAACAACACAGGAATCAGGGGAAACAACACAGGAATCAGGGAAACAACACAGGAATCAGGGAAAACAACACAGGAAACAGGGAAACAACACAGGAATCAGGGAAACAACACAGGAAACAGGGGAAATAACACAGGAAACAGGGGAAACAACACAGGAATCAGGGGAAATAACACAGGAAACAGGAGAAATAACACAGGAAACAGGGGAAACAACACAGGAAACGGGAAACAACACAGGAATCAGGGAAACAATACAGGAAACAGGGAAAACAACACAGCAATCAGGGAAACAACACAGGAATCAGGGAAACAACACAGGAATCAGGGAAACAACACAGGAAACAGGGAAAACAACACAGGAAACAGGGAAAACAACACAGGAAACAGGAGAAATAACACAGGAATCAGGGAAAACACAGAAATCAGGGAAACAACACAGGAATCAGGGGAAACAACACAGGAATCAGGGAAAACAACACAGGAATCAGGGAAAACAACACAGGAAACAGGGAAAACAACACAGGAATCAGGGAAACAACACAGGAATAAGGGGAAACAACACAGGAATCAGGGAAAACAACCCAGGAATCAGGGAAAACACAGAAATTGGGGAAACAACACAGGAATCAGGGGAAACAACACAAGAAACAGAGACAACACAGAAATCAGGGAAATCACAGGAATCCTCCTGCCCAGGGTGCCCCCAAATCTCTGATCCCATCCAAGGCCATGCCATCACCTTGAGATTGGCATCCCAGAAGGGAAAAGGATCCCTGCAGATAAAACCCACCCCGAGGTGACCAAGGTCCCTTCACTCCAATTCAGGAGCCCCGAATTCCCGGGATTATCCCCCAGAGAGCTCATCAGGAGCTCTCTGGCAGGCAGCAGAGGGGTTCCAGGCAGTTCCCAGCCCCCTGCAGACCAGGAAAGGTCCCCCACGTACGGGCAGTGATCACCATCCTCTGGGAGCGCTTGGCGTAGGCGGGAAGAGTTTCCACGTTGAAGCCTGGAACACAGAAGAGAAAACCAGGAATTTATCCTGTCAAAATCCTCCTCTCTCCTCCCGAATTTTTTTTCCAAATTAAACAAGAACGGGATGGGCCAGGGAGCAGACAACAGGAAGGATCATGTGTGTGTGTCCACAGCAGCGAATCCAAGATTTTGGGGGCGGATTTCCCAATCCAAAGGTGGAAAGAGTGGGAAGAGGGAGCTGCTCACCCATTTCCACCAGGGTCACCACGATGTCTGAGAGCGTGGGCTGGGTCCTGGCTGTGTGCTCGCAGTAGGACTTGGCACTCCTCCCAATTTCTGAAATATCTGCAGGATAAAACCAGCAGGGATTTCATCCTCACAGCTCCAGGGATGGGAATTTTCAACAAATCCAGCAAGGAATGAAAAACAACCCCGGGATGGGGCATTTTGTAGGATGAGTGTTTAAAATGAAAGCGTGGGGATGGTAAGGATTAAAAAAAAAAATCAGTGTTTGCTATGAAGGCAAAAGGCAAATCTGCACCCTCAGTTTGGGAAGGATTTTGGGATTCTTGAGCACATCCAGAGGAGGCAACGAGGCTGGAGAGAGGTTGGGAAAACAAACCCTAAAAGGGATGGCTGAGGGTGTTTGTCCTGGAGAAAAGGAGATTCAGTGGCTGTGGCTCCTTCTCCAGGAACTGACAGAACCAGAGGTCACAGCCTCCAGCTGCCCATTTTCAACTTTCAAAGGAAAATTAAAATGTTTCCCTTGAAAACTGAAATTTTCTCAGCTCTAAATGTTCAAGGGAAATTTAGGCTGGATATTGAGAAAGTGGGGTTTTTTTTACAAAAAAACTGGATATGGCACTGGTGCCTTGGACTGGGGCTGATTCCAGGGACTGGGGGCTGATTTTTGGGATTTGTGCCTTGGATTGGGGCTGATTTTTGGGATTTGGGGCTGATTCCAGGGATTTGTGTCATGGATTTGGGGCTGATCTTTGGGATTTGTGCCATGCACTAGGGGCAGATTTTTGGGATTTGTGCCTTGGATTGGGGGCAGATTTTTGGTATTTGTGCCATGGCTTTGGGGCTGATTTTTGGGACTTGTGCCATGCACTGGGAGCTGGTTTTTGGGATTTGTGCCATGGCTTTGGGGCTGATTTTTGGAATTTGTGCCTTGGACTGGGGGCTGATTTTTGGGATTTGTGCCTTGGATTGGGGGCTGATTTTTGGGATTTGTGCCTTGGACTGGGGGCTGATTTTTGGGATTTGTGCCATGGCTTTGGGGCTGATTTTTGAGATTTGTGCCATAGACTGGGACTTGATTTTTGGAATTTGTGCCTTGGATTGGGGGCTGATCTTTGGGATTTGTGGTCCAGATTTGGGGTCAATCTTTGGCATTTGCGCCTTGGACTGGGAGCTAATTTTTGGGATCGGTGCCACAGATTTGGGGCCGATCTTTGGGATTTTTGCCATGATTTGGGGCCAATCTTTTGCCATTTATGGCAGGCATGAGCCCAGGCCTGCCCTGGCTGCTCTGGCACCCCGTGGAAATGCAGATCCCAGCCCGGGCACCACGTGGAAATGCGGATCCCAGCCCGGGCACACGTGGAAATGCGGATCCCGGCCCGGGTGGCACTCACAGCTCTGGATCATCTCGGTGAGCGTCTCCACCGCCGCCTTCTCGGCGCTCTCGAAGCCGGCCTCGGTCAGCAGCGAGCTGACCACCACCTGCAGCGTGCGGCGCCGCGCCAGCTGGTAATTGTCCGCAGGGCTGCCCGCCGCCTTGCCGCCACGCTGAGCCCGGAACGCGGGGACAACGGGAACGGCGGGACAACGGGAACCATGGAACAATGAGAACAGGAACAATGAGAACAACAGGAATGATGAGAACAATGGGAACGGCGGGAACGGCGGAACAACGGGAACAACGGAACAATGAGAACAACAGGAACAATGAGAACAGTGGGAATGGCGGAACAACGGGAACAGGAACAATGAGAACGACAGGAATGATGAGAACAGTGGGAATGGCAGAACAACGGAACAATGGAACAACGGAACAATGAGAACAACAGGAGCAATGAGAACAATGGGAACGGCGGGAATGGTGGAACAACGGAACAATGGGAACAATGGAACAATGAGAACGACAGGAACGATGAGAACAATGGGAATGGCGGGAATGACGGAATGATGGAACAATGGGAACAATGGAACAACAAGAACGACAGGAACAATGAGATCAACGGGAATGACGGAATGATGGAACAATGGGAACAATGGAACAACAAGAACAACAAGAACGATGAGAACAACGGGAATGGCGGGAATGACGGAATGATGGAACAACGGGAATAATGGAACAAGAAGTACAACAGGAACAATGAGAACGACGGGAATGATGAGAACGATGGGAACGGTGGGAACAGCGGGAACAATGAGAACAATGGGAACAACAGGAATGGTGGGAACGATAGGAACGGCAGGAACAATCAGAACAACGGGAGCGGTGGGAATGGTGGGAACAACCGAACAATGGGAACAATGAGAACGATGGGAACAACAGGAACAACGGGAATGACAGGAATGATAGGAATGGCAGGAACGGCGAGAACAACAGGAATGACGGGAACAACAGGAACAATGGAAATGATGAGAACAGTGAGAACAACGGGAACAACGGGAACAACAGGAATGATGGGAACAATGGGACACGGGAACAACGGAACAACAGGAATGGGAATGAGAGTCAGGGCATGGCAGGAGGGTGGCACCCCTGAGGAGAGAGTGAGGTGGGGTGGGATCCATGGTATCCTTGGGATGGGATTCATGGGATGGGATGGGAGGGATTGAATGGGATCTATGGGATGGGACAGGACGGAATCCTTTAGTTAGGATGGGATCCATAGCATGGGATGGGATTCATTGGATGGGATAGGATTAGATCCATTGAATGGGATGGGATCCATGGGATGGGATCAATGGGATGAATCCATGGCATGGGACAAAATTCTTGGGATGGGGTGGGGAACAGGGAATGGAAGGGTTTGGGAGCATGGAAGAGCAGGAACACACGCACACACTCACACACACACACACACACGCGTCCTCTACACTCATACACGTGCGGGCACGTGTGCGTACAGTTATATAAATATTTACATGTAAATTTACACAGATTTATACAAATACATAAATTTACACACGCGTCCTCACAGCAACTCCCCAGACCCTTTTGGGACGCGGCCCCTTTAAGAACCCCCCACAAGCCCCGCCCCGCCTTCCTCCAGCCAATTCGAGCGCGCCATCCTCAGCCAATCAAACGCCGCCTCCCCTCAGGACCTCCAGCCAATCAGCGCCTCCCTCTCTCCGCCCGCCGCCTCCACGCTCCGCGGCCTGGCCGCGGCCGCCTCCGCGCCCCGGACGGACCGGGTGCCGCTGTCCCACCCGGCCCCACCGGGAACCCGCCGGGAACCCGCCCGCGCGGCCCCGCGCCCCGGGGATGAGGCGCCGTTACCGTGCCGGAGCCGCCGGATGCTGTATCAGCCATCTTGGAGCCATATGGAGCTGTGCGCATGCGCCAGGTGCGGGCGGCGCTGTGGGCGGGAGCGCGGGGCATTATGGGAGTTGTAGTGCAGGCGGTGCGAAGCGCGGAGCATTGTGGGAGTTGTAGTGCGGAGTAGGGGGACAACATCTGGATGCGCCCAACCCCCCTCCCCCCGCACATCTGGTTTAATAATAATAAAATGGTTATAAAAATAATTATACAATTAGAGTAATAAAATTGAGAGTTAGGACAATTACAAGACAATAAAAAGAATTACGGATGTCCGGGTGCTCTCGGACACTAAGTTATTAAAATCATGCCTTGTGACCAAAGGAATAACTTTAAAAACCAACACTCCGTTAATTCTCTCTACTCACCCAGAAGAATGTAAACCAATTCTTATTTACAAGAACGGCGTGAAAAGGGTTAGTAAAAATACGGAAATATCAAAAAGCAGAAGAAGCTTTTAGAAGTTTTAAAACTCTCAAAAGAATAAGAACAACAGAGAAGTGCTGGATGCAAGGATGGAGCTGCTGGGCTTGGTTCCCTCCTCAGAAATTCCCAGGATTTGACGCTGCCAGCAGAGGGCACGTTGGGACTGAGAAATTCTGATTATTTCTGAGCCATTTCATTCACAAATCGCCAGCACAGAATGAATTAGTGCCGATTTTTTCACATCCCTCAGCTGGGAAAATCCTCCCCAAAAAATTCCACCCCAATCCACCCTCCTCCCACTTGAGACTGCAAATTCCTCTGAGCCCCACCCAAAAAAAAATATTCCTTGGGTAACCAAATCTGGGGCAGTTTGATGTGCTGAGGAAAATGGATTTTCTGGGAATATTTGGAGGTTTTTTTTTCCCCCATGTGGACATTGAGTTGTTCCTTCCAGGAATGGAAACTCCAACACGCAGAGTTTCAAGCCACAGGGATGTTGGGTTTATATTTTATTTTGAGGTTTGAGGCATTTTTTTTAATATTTGATGAATATTATTGGTTTGTTCGAGTGTTATTGGTGGTAATTTGTGGCTATGAAAGACTCTGGCAGTGAAAATTTTGGAATTTTCTCCCTGGATTTGTTATTTGGAGGAGGAATCTGATCCCGAAGGGAATTCCCAGCCAAGTGTGGGGATGTGGATGAGCTCCAGCTGGAATTTGGACTTTTCCCAAAGATTCCAAAGGCACAGAGAGTGGGGAAGAGTTTTTCCAAGGATGCCAAACACCTCTCAGAGTGGGAGTTAGGATATTCCAGGGGGGAATTTTTCCAGAGGAAAAACCTGGAGAGGTTTTTCCAAACCTGGAAATAACCACAGAGGGGAGAAGCTGCTCTTTGATCCCACAAATAACAAATTCCAGGAAACCAACAGGGAGCTGGGTGGGCTCCCAAATATCCATCTCCACTGGGAAACTCTGAAGAGTTGGAATTCACCCCAGGAATTCCCAGAAAATCCTGCATGGCGTGGACACCCCACGGCTCCCTCTGGAACTTGTGCTCCTCAGCAGATCCCCGTGGCCAGGTTGGAATATCAGACCCCATTCCTGCTTCCAGGATTTGGTGGATTTTTTTTTTTTGCTTTGGGCCTTTTATTTCAATATCCACTGATGTCAGATCTGTTCCTTCCCATCCCACCAGCTCCTCCATGGCTAATCCAGCAGGAATTTCACCCCCAGCTCCAGCCTGGGACTCAGGGAACGTTCTGCTCCCTCCTGTCCTCCCCCTGCCTGCAGTTCTGGGATGCAAAGGGATGAGGAGATGGATCCAAGCTGCTTTTTTATTCCATTTATTTCTTTCTTTTTGCTGCAGCTCAGATGGGAACTTTATTTTCTGTGGAAAAGCAGATTTTGGGTTGCTGAGAGAGCAGAGAAGTTCTGCAGTTTTCTCTCTCTCTACCCCCAAATCCTCAAATCCCAATCCTGTACTCGGGCACAAACTCTGCTGTTGGGATTCCCTGACCAGGACAGGAGCCTTGGGAGTCTTGGGACTTAAAATAAACTGGTTTTTAAAATTATTTTAGGGGAAGAGCTGAAGAAGCAGCAGGATCTGAGAGCCAGAGCTGAGCAGCTCCTTGGTGTGACAGGATGGGTGACAGCACTGTTGTCACCTTCTCCTGCTCATTAAATCTGTCATTTTAAGCTGTCACTTTGAGAAAATCCCTAAATCTGATGAAAAGTCCCTTTTTTTTTCTTCCCAGTGGGATCCTGGAATTAGAGAAGGAATAAGGATGGATGAAATGCAGGAAGTTGTGTGAACTTGTTGGAACCTCTCAGCTGCTCAAGGTGAGTTTAGAGCTGAGCTTTGGGCTGGTTCTTGTTTGATCAGATCAGTTCCCCGGCCCCATTTGCAGATGAAATGGAAATTGCTGCTATCAGGGCAAGGAGCTGATAAAAGATCCTCGATAAGGAAAAAAAAAACCAAAAAAAACCCAAAATTATCTCCAGGGAAAGGGGAGAAATCCTGCAAAAAGCTGCTGGGAGAGGGAGGTTTCTTCAAGCACTTGGACCCTTTTTTTTCCCCCTCTTCCCTCAAAAAAAATTGCCTTTTTTATGGCTTTTCTTGATTTCAGAAGGAGCACTGTCCCTAAAAATCATCCTCTCACCTCCTCCAACCCAGAACAGAACCCAAAAATCCCTGCAGCATTTTGGGGTCCTGTCACCCTTTTATACCCAGAACTGAACCCACAGAGTTCTGCAGCTTTTGGGGTCCTGTCACCCCTTCCCAACCAGGTCTGTGCAGCCTTTTTGGGGTCCTGTCACCCTTTTATACCCAGAACTGAACCCACCAAAGCCCTGCAGCCTTTTTGGGGTCCTGTCACCCCTTTACAGCCAGAACTGAACCCACCAAGGCCCTGCAGCCTTTTTGGGGTCCTGCCACCCGTCCCCACCAGCCTGGCAGGACAATTTGGTGTCTCTGGGGACCTCAGAAGCCACAAGGGGACACCAGGGCTGAGACAGAGATATGGGGTGGCAGCAGCTGCTCAGGATGTGCTGCTGATTCTGGGACAATTCCTGCCCTTTTTGGGACAATTCCCGCCCTTTTTGGGACAATTCCTGCCCTTTTTGGAACAATTCCCGCCCTTTTTGGAACAATTCCCGCCCTTTTTGGAACAATTCCCACCCTTTTTGGAAATCGAGAGTCAGGAGTGGGGCAGGAGAGGGGGAGCAGCCCCTGATAAAGTCCCCAGGGATGACACCCCAAAAAGGGGACACAGCCCCTGATAAAGTCCCCATGGATGACACCCAAAAGGAGGGGACAGTCTCTGATAAAGTCCCCAAGGATGGCAGCCCCAAAAGGGGATAAAGTCCCCATGGATGGCACCCCAAAAAGGGGACACAGCCCCTGATAAAGTCCTCATAGATGTCACCCCAAAAAGGGGACAGTGCCTGATAAAGTCCCCAGGGATGCCACCCCAAAAAGGGGACACAGCCCCTGATAAAGTCCCCATAGATGTCACCCCAAAAGGGGACACAACCCCTGATAAAGTCCCCAAGGATGACACCCAAAAGAGGGGACACAGCCCCTGATAAAGTCCCCAGGGATGTCACCATGGATGTCACCCCAAAGGGGAGACAGCCCCTGGTAAAGTCCCCAAGGGTGGCAGCCCCAAAAGGGGATAAAGTCCCCATGGATGACACCCAAAAGGGGACACAGCCCCTGGTAAAGTCCCCATGGATGTCACCCCAAACGGAGGGGACACAGCCCCTGATAAAGTCCCCAAGGGTGGCACCTCAAATGGGATAAAGTCCCCATGGATGTCACCCAAAAGAGGGGACACAGCCCCTGATAAAGTCCCCAGGGATGTCACCCCAAAAAGGGGACACAGCCCCTGATAATGTCCCCATGGATGTCACCCAAAAGGAGGGGACAGTCTCTGATAAAGTCCCCAAGGATGGCAGCCCCAAAAGGGGACAATTCCTGATAAAGTCCCCTTGGATGGCACCATGGATGTCACCCAAAAGAGGACACAGCCCCTGATAAAGTCCCCAAGGATGTCACCCCAAAAAGGGGACACAGCCCCTGATAAAGTCCCCAGGAATGCCACCCCAGAGGCACAGCTGGAGGAGCTGCACAGCTGGGAGGCCACGATAGGTGCTGTGCTGTCACCTCCCTGTCACCTCCCTGTGTCCCTCCCTCCCTCCCAGCTCCAGCTCTTCCTCTCTCTGCTGGACGTTTCTCCAGAATTCCTTCTGGAAGTTTCTGCCTTGTTGGGATCCTTCTCCCCCAGGAAATGCGAATTTCAGGAGGGAAAAATAAGTGAAGGAAATGTTTGTGGCTAAAACCTCGATCCCCATCACATCCCTGGAGAAAATTCCCCTCAGGATGTGTCCCTTGGGTTGGCTGTGAGGAATTCCGGGGGGTGGCACCCCAAAAACTGATCTGAGCAGATTTTCCACACTCCACTTGGGCAGGGAGGGAAAGAGGTTTTATATCCCCATTTTTTTAGGGTTTTTTGGGTTTTTTTTCTTTTTTTTTTTCTTTTTTGGGATTGTTTTGTTTTGTTTTGTTTGCTTTTTTGGGATTGTTGTGTTTTGTTCCGTTTGTTTTGGGGGGGGGAATTTTTGTGTTGGTTTGGTTTGGTTTTTTTGTTTATTTGGTTGGGTTTTTTTTGTTTTCTTGTTTTGTTTGGGGGATTTTTGTTTGGATTTGAGCTGGAAAAACCTCAGGAATTCGGAGTTTTTCCCTGATTTTAGCAGGAAGGTTGGATAAGGAACATTCCTCCGCCTCACCCCCAGAGCCGGGGCTGTTTTGGGGGGAAATACTCAGATGTTGATAAAATGATTTCCCACGGGCCCAGCTTTGGGGCTGTGGCTTTGGGGGCACCCGGGGGGGGTGACAGGCCACGCTTCACGTGCACACAACTGTCACCTCGTGTCACTTGGGGCTGGCTGCCTTTCCTCTGTGACAGATGAGCTCCCCACATCTGGCGGTGGCGGTTGGGATTGGTGGCGCGATTTAATCACAGCCAGAGAGGGGGGAAGGGGTGGCAGTGACAAACTGGGGTGGTAGGGACAAACTGAGTGTGGCAGGGACACACTGGGGTGGCAGGGACAAACTGGGGTGGCAGGGACAAACTGGGGTGGCAGGGACACACTGGGGTGGCAGGGACAGACGGGGGGTGGCAGTGACAAACTGGGGGTGGCAGGGACAAACTGAGGGTGGCAGTGACAAACTGGGGTGACAGGAAAAACAGGGGGTGACAGGGATGCACTGGGGTGACAGGGACAAACTGGGGTGACAGGAAAAACAGGGGGTGACAGGGAGAGATGGGGTGACAGTGGCAAACTGGGGTGGCAGGGACAGATGGGGTGACAATGGGAAACAGGGGGTGACAGTGACAAACTGGAGGTGGCAGGGACACACTAGGGGTGACGGGGACAGGGGGTGGCAGGGACAAACTGGGGGTGGCAGGGACACACTGGGGTGACAATGTCAGACAAGGGGTGGCAATGGCAAACTGGGGGTGACAGGGACAAACTGGGGGTGACAATGGGAAACTGGGGTGGCAGTGACAAACTGGGGGTGGCAGGGACACACTGGAGGTGGCAGTGAAAAACTGGGGTGACAGTGTCAGACAAGGGGTAGCAATGACAAACTGGGGATGGCAGGGACAAATTGGGGTGACAGGAAAAACTGGGGTGGCAGGGACAAACTGGGGGTGGCAGTGACAAACTGGGGTGACAATGGCAAACAGGGGTGGCAGTGACACACTGGGGTGACAGGGACAAACTGGGGGTGGCAGGGACAGATGGGGTGACAATGGGAAACTGGGGTGGCAATGACAAACTGGGGTGACAATGGCAAACTGGGGATGGCAGTGACAAACAGGGGTGACAATGGCAAACAGGGGTGACAGGGACGAACTGGGGTGACAGGGACAAACCCTTTAAGCCCCGGTTAACCCTTTAATTCCCGGTTAACCCTTTAAGCCCCGTGCAGGCCCAGCTTTGCAGAGCCCAGCCTCCAGCTCAGGACCATCCCCAGCCACGCTGCCTCTGCAGGGCCGAGCTCAAATCTGCCCCAAACCCCCCCTGAGCCCCCCAGGGCTGCAGCTGTGGGGCTGGGAGGGGATTTAGGGGTGCAAAAAGCCACCCTGGGGGCACCCCTGCAGCTCTCAGCTGTGCACCCAGCCCTGCAGGTGAGCAGAGATCGTTGCTCAGCATCTATTTTTCTTTTTTTTTTTAACCCCCCAGCTCGATTTGCACTCTGCAGGAAGTAAAAGAAACACTTTTGAACGCTCTCGATGCAGGTAAAAATAAATTTGTGGGGCACAACGGGTTTTGTGGGGGACCCCCTGAAATCTGTGGGGGCAAAGCCAGACTTGTGTGTTTTGGAAATTTTTTGTTTCTTGTTGTCTCCCTGCCACCATCAGGGGAATCATCCTGGAGGGGGGAAGGGCCTGAGGGCTCTCCTGGCTCCATCAGGGCAGGATTTTGGTGAAAAAATTGGGATTTTGGGGTGTCTTGGAGAATTTGCCAACCCTGTTTCACAGGAGAGCTCTCCGAGGTTCAGGGATTGGGAATTGTGAAAATCAATATTCACAGTGAAAATCCACATTGGGAATGGTGAAAATCAATATTCACAGTGAAAATCCACATTGGAAATGGTGAAAATCAATATTTACTGTGAAAATCAATATTCACAGTGAAAATCCACATTGGGAAGGGTGAAAATCAATATTCACAATGAAAATCCACATTGAGAATTGTGAAAATCAATATTCACAGTGAAAATCCACATTGGGAATGGTGAATAATTCAAATAATCCAAATCCCAGCACCTGGCATCACTTCCCAACAGCCCAGGAGCTGCCCTGGCATCGGGCTGAGCAGAAAAAATGCAAATTTCAATTTTTGAGGTAATTTCAAGTCTCTCACACGCAGAGACTGAGGCAGGATGGATTTCCTGGAGGGGGCTGAGGAAAAATGTGGGATTCTCATTCCAAACCTTGAAGGGCTGAGGAAAATTGTGGGATTTTAATTCCAAATCATGCAGAGCTGAGGAAAACTTTGGGATTTCCATTGAAACCCTGCAGAGCTGAGGAAAAATGTGGGATTTTCATTCTAAACCATGCAGAGCTGAGGAAAATTGTGGGATTTCCATTGAAAAACCTGCAGGGCTGAGGAAAAATTTGGGATTTCCCTTGAAACCCTGCAGAGCTGAGGAAAAATTTGGGAATTCCATTGAAAAACCTGCAGGGCTGAGGAAAAATGTGGGATTTTCATTCCAAACCATGAGGAAAAATTAGGGATTTTAATTCCAAACCCTGCAGAACTGAGGAAAATTGTGGGATTTCCATTGAAAAACCTGCAGGGCTGAGGAAAAATGTGGGATTTCCATTGAAAAACCTGCAGAGCTGAGGAAAAATGTGGGATTTCCATGGAAAGCCTGCAGTTTCATGGCTGAGCCGCCTCTGGAAGTGCAGGCAGCTCTTCCCCTTTATTCTGCAGGGCGCTGATAGCTCAGGGCAGCCTCTCCCTGCGCCTGGGGACAGGGACAGGGACACTGCTGGCAGTGCTATCACTCCCCGTCCCCTTTCCCCACACATTTGTTTGTCTCATTTCTGCTGCATTCTGAGAAACCCATGCCTGGAGCAGCAGGAGAACCAAAAAAACCCCAAAAAAACCCCCCAAAAAAACTAAAAACCAAAAAAAAAAAAGCTTTTTTGCTTTATCTCTGCCCTCTCTGCTCTTGAAGTGGCCACAAGGCCTCGATAACAGCAGGCTGGGCTGGCAGGATTAGACACCAAGGTGCCACCTCTGCCAGGCTCTGGTGACATCCAGATGTGGCACAGCTGCCCAGCTGCTCTCCCAAAAAACCCCAAACTCCTGAGGGGTTTCTCCATGGCTTCAGCCCCTCCTCAGTGGGGTCAGAGCCTCTCCCGAGCGCCCCGTTTGGGGACACTTTGTAGGATTGTCCCACCGTGGTCAGGCTGGGCAGAAATCAGCCCAAAGGATGGAGAATTTATGGGAATTTACGGTGGGTTTAGGTGGGTTTTTCTGTAGGAAATAAGGCCAGAGGTTCTGAAAAGCTTTGGGTCCATCCTGATGGCCAACAGGATGATTTTTGTGGTGTGGGGAGGGATTTTCCCTGCCCGGCTCCAGAGTGAGGAACCCACAGCCCCACAGGGAGGGGCTGAGTCCTGCAGCCTGACCCCAAAATTCCCCTTTAGCCAAATCCTGCTCCTCCTCAAAGCACAGGGAAAGCAGGGAGAGAGGGAGTCACAGGCAGAAAATCAGGGATTTATTTCAGGTAGAAAAAGCAGCTCCTCCCAGGATTTTGGGGGACAAACATCCTCTGAAGTTTGGGGTTCTGGGAGACAAACATCCAGTGAAATTTGGGGTTTGGGGAGATGTGAGATTTGGGATTTGGGGAGAAAAATACCCTGTGAAGTTTGGGGTTTTGGGAGACAAACATCCAGTGAAATTTGGGGTTTTGGGAGACAAACGTCCAGTGAAATTTGGGGTTTTGGGAGATGTGAGATTTGGGATTTGGGGAGACAAACACCTGTGAAATTTGGGGTTTTGGGAGATGTGAGATTTGGGATTTGGGGAGACAAACACCTGTGAAATTTGGGGTTTTGGGAGATGTGAGATTTGGGATTTGGGGAGACAAACACCTGTGAAATTTGGGGTTTTGGGAGATGTGAGATTTGGGGTTTTGGGAGACAAACATCCAGTGAAATTTGGAGGTTTGGGAGACGTGAGATTTGGGGTTTGGGGAGAAAAACACCCTCTGAAGTTTGGGATTCTGGAGATGAACACCCTTGAAGCTTGGAGTTTGGAGAGACAAACACCCTGTAAAATTTGGGGTTCTGGAGATGAAAACCCTGTGAAATTTGGGGTTCTGAGGACCAACACCCTGTGAAATTTGGGGTTTCTCAGGGCCAGGTCCCCACCCTGCCCAGTGCCACGTCCTGGGCAGCAGGGGTGGAGTCTCTGACTGTTATCTTTGGAGATTATTATTTTTTTTTTTCCCACCAGTTTGATTTTTAGCTCACCCAATATTTAGGCAGCTCTGATCTCCTCTTTAATTAATTACAGGAATGTCACTTTGATTGTTTCTTTTACTAATGAGCATTTCCTTATTCCTGTTTTTATCCCCTGTGTGGGAACATCAGGAATCACTGCTTGCTGAACTGGAGGAACTTTATTTATACCCCTGAGATGTTTTTACACAAATTTGGCCCCGCTTTACATTAAACCCCGTTTATTTTACATTTCTGCTGATTTAAATACAGTCACACCGAGCTGGTTTCACCACCACAACATCCTCTGCTGCCTGGTGGAAGGAGCAAAGCTCTGATCTGCCTGGAACCACCTGATTTTTGAGGCAAATTCTCCCCTAAATCCCTTTTCCCATCAGCTGTGCCACACTCCAGAGCCAGCCAGGTCCTGTCCTTGTCACAAATTCCGTGGCCAGGCCAGGCCAGGCAGCACAAACCCTTTGGCAGCTTCTCCCAGGAAACCAAATCCCACATTTCCCCTTTTCCCTGGGCTCTCAGGCAGCTCCTTTGTCCTCCTTATCTCCAGGTTGGCACCAGAGCCCAAAAAATTTTTAAAAAAAATCCCAATTTTGGGCTGGGGTTGCATTTAAAACAATGATATCTTGGATTTCCACCCCTTGGAGCAGGCAGGACCTCAAAGTCCCCCTGGGAGTTGTCATTCCAAAAGCAGCTCTGGAAGTCCCAAAATCCTGTGGGAAGCTGATTAATTTATACCCTGTTAATTACCAGGTGCCATTTCCTTGCATAATGTCATTTTCAAGGGGAATTAAATCCTTTGTTTCTGTGTTTGTGGAGTTGTTTTGAAAGGCGTCATCTCCCACCCGGGAATTTTCTCCCATCCTGAAGGTCTTTTATTACCTTTAATAAAAGAAAATTATTAATAATTAATCACCTAAATACAAATGGGCTCTGTGCCCTGGAAGTGCAGAACAAATATGGTCAATTTTAGAGTTCCACGTGGGTATTTTAGAGCACCTGGAGTGTCGGAATTTTACCTGGCTGGAGGGAAACTGAGGCAAGGAGCAGCTGAGTGCTCTGAGCAGAGCAAAAATACAAAAAAAAAACAAACTGGAAAATCAATTCCCAATCCCCGGCTCTTCCCAATGTGGATTTTCACCAGGAATATTGATTTTCACATTCCCCAATATGAATTTTCACACTGAATATTGATTTTCACAATTCCCAATATGGATTTCCACCATGAATATTGATTTTCACATTCCCCAATGTGGATTTTCACAGTAAATATTGATTTTCACAATCCCCAATATGGATTGTCACTGTGAATATTGATTTTTCACATTCCCCAATATGGATTTTCACTGTGAATATTGATTTTCACGATCCCCAATATGGATTTTCACTGTGAATATTGATTTTCACTGTGAATATTGATTTTCACAATCCCCAATATGGATTTTCACAGTAAATATTGATTTTCACAATCCCCAATATGGATTGTCACTGTGAATATTGATTTTTCACATTCCCCAATATGGATTTTCACTGTGAATATTGATTTTCACGATCCCCAATATGGATTTTCACTGTGAATATTGATTTTCACTGTGAATATTGATTTTCACAATCCCCAATATGGATTTTCACCATTCCCAATCCCAGACTCTTCCCAATATGGATTTCCACCATGAATATTGATTTTCACAATTCCCAGTGTGGATTTTCACGGTGAATATTAATTTTCAAAATCCCCAATATGGATTTTCACTCTGAATATTGATTTTCACAATCCCCAACCCCTTCTATTCCCTATACCAATGTCCACCATGAATATCAACCCCATATTTTTATTACACATCCCATTAGTGGCAAAAACCTCATTTTTCTGTTGAAAAAACTCATTTAGGAAACTAAAAAAAATCAGAAATCGCCGTGCTGCTGAGAGGTGTGAGCTGAGCACCCCCCAGGCCCTCCAGGCAGGGGACAGCACCCAGGCTGTGAAAAATGCATATTTTATCAGGTAAATATACTTTTAGGTTCCAATTTTAAGTTTAAAATAGAGACTATGTATGTGGGGGGAGGTTTTTTTGTTTAGGATGAGATACTCGCTTCGAGGAACACCTAAATCTTCCAAAAAAAAGGAATTTATGGTTTTCTTATCAGAAGAAACGAATTTCTTCAGGCCTTGGGGATGAAGGGAAACAGCTGAAACACAACAGACAGAGTTCTTGTTTTAATAAATGTATGCATAACCATGAAGGATATATGAATATGCAACAGGCTGTTGTTTTTAAGGTTATTCTTTTGTTCACAAGGGATGATTTTCGTGACTTAGTGTCTGTAATTCTTTGCTTTTTATTGCCTTGGAATTGTCCTCTCTCTATTTTGTCGCTTTAATTGTATTATTATTATTTTATAACCATTTTATTATTATTATTTTTAATATTTTTTAAAAAATATTAAAAAAAACTTTAAAAAATTTTAAATTAAAAAAAAAATATTTTAAAAAAACCTTTAAAAATTTTTAAAAACCAAGTTTTTCACCCAGGCTCTGTGTCCCTGTGCCCGTGCCAGCAGCTGGCACAGCCTGGCAGCCCTGGAGGAAGCGGCAGAGCTGGGGAGGTGAAATTGCCACGGGCTGTGCTGGTGTCTCCAGGAAACCTTTCAGGATTCTCAGCAGAGCCAGATCTCCTTCCTCTCCTTCTCTCCTTCCTCCCTGCCAGCAGCAGGGGGGGGTTTGGGGGGTTTTTAAAGCAGAATTTGCTCCTGGCTCTGCTGGAGCAGCGGCTTTTGTTGGGGATTTTTAAGCTCTTCCGCATCCTGCTCGTGGGTTTGGGGGAGATCGGAGCTCCCCAGGACCCCAAAAGCGAGTGGGGAGAGCAAAATGTTCCTCACCCTCCTGCCCTGGAGCTGCTCCAGCGTTTCCCAGGGATTTCCCAGCCAAAATCCCAAAACTTCACCAGGTGTTCATCTCTCCAAACCCCAAACTTTACCAATGTTCATCTCCCCAAACCCCAAAACTTCACCAGATGTTCATGTCCCAGAACCCCAAACATCACACGGTATTCATCTCTCAGAACCCCAAACTTTACCAGATGTTCATGTCCCAAAACCCCAAAACTTTACCAATGTTCATCTCCCCAACCCCCAAAACTTCACAGGGTGTTCATGTCCCCAAAACCCCAAAACTTCACCAGATGTTCATGTCCCAGAACCCCAAAACTTCACAGGGTGTTCATGTCCCAGAACCCCAAAACTTCACAGGGTGTTCGTCTCCCAAAACCCCAAAACTTCACCAGATGTTCATCTCTCCAAACCCCAAACTTTACCAATGTTCATCTCCCCAAACCCCAAAACTTCACAGGGTGTTCATGTCCCAAAACCCCAAAACTTCACAGGGTGTTCATGTCCCAGAACCCCAAAACTTCACCAGAATTTCATCTCTCCAAACCCCAAACTTTACCAATGTTCATCTCTCCAAACCCCAAAACTTCACAGGGTGTTCATGTCCCCAAACCCCAAATTTGACAGGGTGTTCATCTCCCAGAACCCCAAACTTTACCAATTTTCATCTCCCCAAACCCCAAAACTTCAGAGGGTGTTCATCTCCCAAAACCCCAAATTTTACCAGATGTTAACGTCCTAAAACCCCAAAACTTCACATGGTGTTTGTCTCCCAAAACCCCAAAACTTCACCAAAACTTCCCAGGGTGTTCCTCTCCCAGAACCCCAAACTTCACTGACTTTGGAACTGGGATCTCTCCTCAGGCTTTTCCTGCTGAGTTTTGGAGCAGCTGAACCTCTCACTGTGATCCTGGGGTGAAAAAAAATGAGGGACACCTTTCCCTGGAGAGAAAAAAGATTATTATCCCAGAAAAAAAAAAAATTAAAAATATTATCCCAGAAAAAAAAAAAAATTGTCATCCCAGATTAAAAAATTTATTATCCCAGAATAAAAAAATTATTCTCCCAGAATAAAAAAATTATTTTCCCCTCCAACAGGCAGGGCAGCAAATCCCAGGAAATTCCCTTTGTGCTGCTCCTCTGAGGAGCCCCAAGCTCCCAACATCAAATTAAAAATATATTTAAAAAAAAATATATATATGTTTATGTATTAAAAAAAAAAAAAACCATAAAAAATAACCTGCAAACCCCAAATTCTCTGAAAAATCCAAACCCATGGAATAACCCTCAGGGCAGGACCAGGGCAAGGAAAAAAAAAAAGCTGAATTTTAGATGTAAAACATCAGGGCAGTGTTGGTTTTTTTTTTTCATCCTTTGCATAATTGGTGACCACAGATCATCCCCTGAAATGACCTAAATTTATCCCATCCGGGGGCTTTCCAAGCCCAATTTGTTTTCTGAAATTTTGGTTTCAGTTTTGCCTTATTTATTTATTTATTTATTTATTTATTTATTTAATTAATTTTATTTTTTTCTGTCCTGGTGTCTTCCCCAGCTGAATTTTGGTTCTAAAATGCTGATTTGGGAGCGAAATGGAGAGTTCACCTGGGGCTGCCTCGCTCTGCTTCCGAGTCCGAGTCGATGAAAATGAGATTTCACTGGAGATTTCCTCGGGAAAAGGGAACTGAGGCACCAAACGGCTGCAAAAATGACAAAGGAAGGCAAAAAAATGCTCAGGAAAAAAATCAGGTGAAATGACACTTGGGATCAGGAGGGATTTCCCTGTGCAATCAGGAATTTCCACATGGAATTAGGAGGAATTTTCCTGTGGAATCAGGAGGAATTTTCCTACAGGATCAGGGGGAATTTCCTCACGGGATCAGGAATTTCCACATGGAATCAGGAAGAATTTTCCTATGGAATCAGGAATTTCCTCGTGGAATCAGCAGGAATTTCCCCATGGAACCAGGAGGAATTTTCCTATGGGATCAGGAGGAATTTCTCATGGGATCAGGAGGAATTTTCCTGTGGAATCAGGAGGAACTTCCCCATAGAATTAGGAGGAAATTCCTCATGGAATCAGGAATTTCCTCTTGGAATTAGCAGGAATTTTCCTATGGAATCAGCAGGAATTCCCCCATGGAATTAGGAGGATTTTCCCCATGGGATCAGGAGGAATTTTCCTGTAGGATCAAGAGGAATTTCCCATGGGATCAGGAGGAATTTCCTATGGAATCAGGAGGAATTTTCCTGTGGAATCAGCAGGAATTTCCCCATAGAACTAGGAGGAAAATCCTCACGGAATCAGCAGGAATTTTCCCATGGAATCAGGAGGAATTTCCTATGGAATTAGCAGGAAATTCCTCATGGAATCAGGAATTTCCTTTTGGAATCAGGAGGAAATTCCTCATGGAATCAGGAGGAATTTTCCTGTGGAATCAGCAGGAAATTCCCCATAGAACTAGGAGGAAAATCCTCATGGAATCAGCAGGAATTTTCCCATGGGATCAGGAGGAATTTCCTATGGAATTAGCAGGAATTTTCCTATGGAATCAGGAATTTCCTCATGGAATCAGCAGGAATTTTCCCATGAGAAATTTTCCCCCAGGCTCCATCCCACCAGAACCAGCCCCACATCCCTTGGAAAACTCCCACTTTTCCCCTCATCACCAACATTCCAGAACAACAATCCCAATTTTATGATCCAGCCAAGACCAACCTCACCCTGCCGAGCTCCTGGAAGCCACTGGGGGTTTATTTATCATTTTTAATCCCAAGGAATTTCCTTTTTTTAACATCCCCCAAGCCAGGAAACCGCCTATCTATGGCCAGCAGTGACCAAAATTTGGTTTTCCTGGAATTTTCCCCCCATTTCCCTCCCCACACCCACACACTTTAGGCTTTTTAGGATCCTGCAGTGTAATTTTTTGCATTTCCAGCCTGCCCCTGTGGCTTGCAGAGGCTCCACTTCTGCCCAGTCATCATCTGGAGGGAACAGCAGCTTGTGCAACGCTCCCTTCCCCCTTTTTTTGGGGCCACCACCCAAAAAACACCCCACAAACACCAAGAACAGGAGCAAACCCAACAAGTCTTGGACAAAAACCCACAAAAAAACACCCCAAAACTTTCAATTTCCAAAGACACAGCCCCAAAACCAAAAGGGCCAAAAGGCACCGCTGTGGTTTCCACTTTGCTGGAGTCAAAAATTGCTTTTTTTGTTAAAAATGTGGGATCTGGGGCCCTTCTCTTCCCCTGCACCCCGGATTAAAAGCAGCTGACTGATCCACAGGGCTCTCCCATGGATTCCTCAAATATTTCCTGCCCACACCAAGGGATGTTTTCATTGTAAGGTGAAAGAAAATTGGGTGGAAAAAGGAGATTTTGGCGAGTTCTGATGTCACGCAGAAAAATTCCTTCTTTGTCGCTGCTGGAATTCTCTGCCCCTTTTTTTTCCCTTCAGTTCTGCCTCATCCTCGAGTTTCTCAGCACAGCAAATCCATTAAAAATTTCCCATCCATGCCATAAATTGCATTAATTGCAATAATTAAATGGCACAAAGGGCGTCGTGGCTGTGACCTCGATGTTCGCTGTCACAGGGGGCATTTAGAGCTTCTAAAAATCACAAAGATTATTTTTATTTCGAAAAAAAAACCCCAAAAAAAACTCCTGAGCTGACAAAACAAAGCCTCCGGTCTTGCCTTACTTTGCACTTATTAATTTGGGGAGTTTGTTTGCAATTTAAATATTCTTTAGATGACAAAGAAGCAGCAAAATGTGTCAAAATGGCACAGGTGGAAGTGGCTGAAGTGACACTGGTGTGTGTGGGAGAAGCTGTGGTGGCACATTTTTGTTCCTTCGCCTAAAAATGAATTTATTTTCAGAGGAATAGCCCAAAAATGAGTTTATTTCCAGAGGAACAGCCTAAAAATCAGTTTATTTCCAGAGGAACAGCCTAAAAATGAGTTTATTTCCAGAGGAATAGCCCAAAAATGAGTTTATTTCCAGAGGAATAGCCCAGCAGGATCAGTCAGGGGCGTCACTTTGGGATAATTTTGGGATTTAGGCTGTGTTTTATCTGGAAAAACCAGATTTTTTTTTTTTTTAATATATTTTTTGCTGATTTCTGACCTTTCCCAGCAGCAAATTCGCATCTTCCCAGCCCAGCAAGGAATTCCAGCGGCTCAAGGACAAGCAGGATCAGGTCCCAGCACAGGGCTGGGGAAGCCACATTACAAAACTATTTCAAATTCCTTCAAAACTATTCCAAATTCCTTCGAGGACTTTTTCAAAGGTGTTCCCAAACAAATGCGAATTATTCGGCTGACAAAGGCTTATCTCGGCAGCCCCGCGCTTTTGTTATCATCTCCCGCGGTGAATTTTGGAAGCGGCTGCGAATATGGGCACAGCTGATTGTGTTTGCACAGCTTTGAAAATACCGCGCTTAAAAAAAAAAAAGAAAAAAAAAAGAGAAAAGAAAGAAAAAGAAAAAAAAAAAAAAAGGGAAATTGGGGGAAAAAAGGAAAAATTGGGGAAAAAAATTAAGAAAAAAATTAAGAAAAAATTAAGAAAAAAGGGAAAAAGGGGGGAAAAGGATAAAAAATTAAGTGAAGAAAAAAAGGAAAAAATGGGGGAAAAAGAAACAATGAAAAAAGAGAAAAAAATTTAAAAAGAAAAAAAGGGGGAAAAAGAAAAAATAAAAAAGGGAAAAAATGGAAAAATTTAAAAATAGAGAAAAAAGGGGAAAATAAAAAAAGAAAAAATGGGGAAAAAATTAAAAATTAAAAATTGGGGAAAAGTAAAAAATAAAAATGGAAAAAAATTTAAAAATAGAGAAAAAAGGGGAAAAATTAAAAAAAAGAAAAAATGGGAAAAAATTAAAAAAAGAAAAAATGGGAAAAAAATTAAAAATTGGGAAAAAGTAAAAAATAAGAAGGAAAAAAGAGGGAAAGGGAAAAAAATTAAAAAAAAAAAAAAAGAAAAATAAAAAAAAAGAAAAAAGGGGAAAAAAAAAAAAAAAAGTTACAGAATTTAAGACTGAAAAAAAATTCAAGCGTCCGGGACTGACAGCCGCCTGGGAGCGGGGAGATGAGGGGGATGCGGCGGTGTCCCCTCGGTGTCCCCGCGGTGTCCCCTCGGTGTCCCCTCCGTGTCCCCCCCCAACATGGCAGCAGCGCCCGCCGCGCCCCACGTGCGCCCGTCCCGCCGGCGCGCCCCTGGCCCCGCCCCCCGCCGCTACAGCCCCGCCCCTTTGCGGCGCTCAGCCCTCCGATTGGTGCGCAATGCCACAACCACGCCCCCCAACTCGGCGGGCGCGGCGGTTCCGCTCGCTGATTGGCTGCGGCGCGGCGAGGCCACGCCCCCTCTCCTCCCGGCGCTCGGGGCCGCGGCGGGAGCGCCGCCAGTTCCCGGTGGCCGCGGCGGGGCCGGGGTGGCTGCGGGCCTCGCTCCGCCCGCGGTGTCCCCGCGCTGTCCCCTCCCTGTCCCCGCTGTGTCCCCGCTGTGTCCCCGCACCCCCACATGGAGCTGCTGTGCGCGGAGTCCGCGCCCCGCGCCCCCCGCGCCGCGCGGGACCCGCATCTGCTGCGGGACCGGCGGGTGCTGCAGAACCTGCTGAGCCTGGAGGAGCGCTACAGCCCCCGCGTGTCCTACTTCCAGTGCGTGCAGCGCGACATCCAGCCCTACATGCGGAAGATGTTGGCCTTCTGGATGCTGGAGGTACCGAAAATGTTCCCCAAAACCAAAACCCCGCGTGCGGCGGGCCCGGGGCTGCGGGGGACAACCGGGGGACACCCTCCGCCTCCGGTGTCAGGCGGAGGGGATGGAGGGTTTGGCTGTGCCAAACTTGGGATTCCCCCATGCGGGAGCCTCCCCCGAGCCCAAAAGCAGCAGGTGAGAGACCCCCAAAAGAGGGAGAGATCCCCCCCGGAGGCTCCGAACTGGTTCAATGGGGAGATAATAACGCTACTGCCGACTTCCCTAAATTAAAAATGAATCTGTCTCTCTGCGGGATGGATTTCGGGGTTGGGGGGGGATCTCCTGGTGGGAGGATTCACAATAAATGACAATTCCGCAGGGCTGGGTCCTGCCTGTCCCTGGTCAGTGCTGCGGGAAGCTCTTCCAAAGAAATAAAGAATATTTACATTTTAAAGGGTTTTCCCCCCCTTTTCGAAGAGGGTCGGTAGATAAACGCCGCTTTGGGGTCGGCTCCTGTGCAGCCCCAAAGGCAGCGAGGTGACACTGGCGGGTGTCACCACCCGCGTGTCACTGTCCCCATGGCAGGAGGAGGAGGGCGGCGTTCTCTGCAGAGCGAGGAGAAACCGCAATATCTTCATGGCTGTGTCGAAAGAAGGAAGTTCAGTGTGACAAGCGCTGCGGGGCTGGAATTTGGAGCTGCCGGACTCTGCCGGTGCCCCAGGGAGGGACTTTGGGGACATTATTGGGGTGCTCCAGGTGGAATTACCAGCCCTGGATCCTTCTCTGCACCCTCCAGCAAAGCTGCTGCTTTGCTCCCCAACTCCCCGGGGCAGCTGCCTGGAGGCATCCCCAGCAGGGCACAGCACAAACCGGGAAAATTCGGATTTATCCCTGCTCTCCTTGCTGCTGCTCTCCACAGGAAGGTGAAGCCTCAGTGTGACAGCCCCGGGGCGATGCCTGCGGCTCCTTCCCTGCCGGAGCTGTGCTGAGCTCTTTTCTCTCACCAAAACTTCCTTTTCTCTTTTTTTCTCTCCTCTCTGCCAGGTGTGCGAGGAGCAGAAGTGTGAGGAGGAGGTGTTCCCGCTGGCCATGAACTACGTGGATCGGTACCTGTCCTCGGTGGCCGTGCAGAAGAGCCACCTGCAGCTGCTGGGAGCTGTGTGCATGCTGCTGGCCTCCAAGCTGAGGGAAACCATGCCCCTGACCGTGGAGAAGCTCTGCATCTACACCGACAACTCCATCACCCCCCAGGAGCTGCTGGTAACCCCTGGGCCCCCTCAGCTCCTGCCTGGCATCTCCTGCTCCCATCCCTCTGCATTTCCCTCCTCCCTGGTGGAGGATTTTCCATCCTCCCCGTGCTGGGCAGCAGAATTGTCCCCTCAGTTGTCCCCTCCTGGCTGGGGATGAAGTTTCCTCCCCGTGCTGGGCAGCAAAATTGTCCCCTCAGTTGTCCTCTCCTGGTTGGGGACGGAGTTTCCAGTGCCAGCACCAGGCTGTCACTCTGGGCTGTCACCCCAGTGACATCTCCAAGGTTCCAAGCTCTGGGAACCTCCCTGTGCCCCCTCAGCTCCTGCCTGGCATCTCCTGCTCCCATCCCTCTGCATTCCCCTCCTCCCTGGTGGAGGTTTTTCCATCCTCCCCGTGCTGGGCAGCAGAATTGTCCCCTCAGTTGTCCTCTCCTGGTTGGGGATGAAGTTTCCTGTGCCAGCACTGGGCTGTCACCCTGGGTTGTCACCCCAGTGACATCTCCAAGGTTCCAAGCTCTGGGAACCTCCCTGTGCCCCCTCAGCTCCTGCCTGGCATCTCCTGATCCCATCCCTCTGCATTTCCCTCCTCCCTGGTGGAGGATTTTCCATCCTCACTGTGCTGGGCAGCAGAATTGTCCTCTCCTGGTTGGGGATGAAGTTTCCTCCCCGTGCTGGGCAGCAGAATTGTCCTCTCCTGTTGGGGGTGAAGTTTCCAGTGCCAGCACCGGGCTGTCACCCTGGGCTGTCACCCCAGTGACATCTCCAAGGTTCCAAGCTCTGGGAACCTCCCTGTGCCCCCTCAGCTCCTGCCTGGCATCTCCTGCTCCCATCCCTCTGCATTCCCATCCTCCCTGGTGGAGGATTTTCCATCCTCCCCGTGCTGGGCAGCAGAATTGTCCCCTCAGTTGTCCCCTCCTGGTTGGGGATGAAGTTTCCTGTGCCAGCACTGAGCTGTCACCCTGGGCTGTCACTCTGGGCTGTCACCCCTGTCACATCTCCAAGGTTCCAAGCTCTGGGAATGTCCCTGGGCCCCCTCCCAGTGCCCCCTCAGCTCCTGCCTGGCATCTCCTGATCCCATCCCTCTGCATTCCCCTCCTCCCTGGTGGAGGATTTTCCATCCTCCCTGTGCTGGGCAGCAGAATTGTCCCCTCAGTTGTCCCCTCCTGGTTGGGGATGAAGTTTCCAGTGCCAGCACTGAGCTGTCACTCTGTGCTGTCACTCAGGGCTGTCACTCCACTCAGATCTCCAAGGTTCCAAGCTCTGGGAACCTCCCAGTGCCCCCTCCCAGTGCCCAGCTCCTGCCTGGCATCTCCTGATCCTGCTCTGCTGCTCCCATCCCTCTGCATTCCCCCCCTCCCTGGTGGAGGTTTTTCCATCCTCCCCGTGCTGGGCCCCAGAATTGTCCCCTCAGTTGTCCCTTCCTGGTTGAGGATGAAGTTTCCTCCCCGTGCTGGGCAGCAGAATTGTCCTCTCCTGGTTGGGGATGGAGTTTCCAGTGCCAGCACTGAGCTGTCACCCTGGGCTGTCACCCCAGTCACATCTCCAAGGTTCCAAGTTCTGGGAATGTCCCTGGGCTCCCTCCCAGTGCCCCCTCAGCCCCTGCCTGGCATCTCCTGCTCCCATCCCTCTGCATTCCCCCCCTCCCTGGTGGAGGATTTTCCATCCTCCCCATGCTGGGCAGCAGAGTTGTCCCCTCAGTTGTCCCTTCCTGGTTGGGGATGGAGTTTCCTGTGCCAGCACTGAGCTGTCACTCTGGGCTGTCACCCTGGGCTGTCACTCCAGTGACATCTCCAAGGTTCCAAGCTCTGGAAACCTCCCTGTGCCCCCTCAGCTCCTGCCTGGCATCTCCTGATCCAGCAAAAATCGGATTTTAGGTGCAGAGTGAAGCAGCCAAACGGGTGTGAGGGGTTTGTCAGCCGCCCCAGGGTGGTGGGGATGGGTGGAATTCCTGCTCTGCCCCTCCGTTTCTCATCCCACATCCTTCCCAGGCTCTGAAAGGCCAAACCTTTCTGGTGGTGTGTGATAAGAGCTCAGCCTCAGCCAGCAGGGAGGAAATGGGAGAAAAGCGCTTTTTTTGGGTCTCAGGAGGGAAGGGTGAGCTCCCCTCGGTGCCTGAACATCCCCAGAGCTTCTCGGGGTTACTCACCACCCAACTCGGCTGTTTTTGGGGTGCCTGATCTGAGTGGGACCCACAGAACTTTCGGGGCACTGCAGAGCTCTGAGCTGAACCTGGTTTTTCCCAAGGCTGGGGAAAATCCCCTCCCCTCCAGAGCCCTGAACTCATTAGTGGGTGGTGATTGCCTTAATTAGCCCCCTCGGGAGCTGATGAGTGTGGGATGGGAATGGATGCCGAGCCCTGCCCCCAGGTGGGTTTTAATTCTGATTTTTGGTGAGGATTTGCTGGTCCCAGGGGTTAATTCCTGCTCATCTTCCCTGCTCCTCCCTCCTGAGCCTGCAGCTCCCACTCCTGGGATTCTGGAATTCTGGAATTCTCCTTCCCTCCAGGATCCCTGAGTTGCTCTTGCATGCTTTGTGATGTCAATATGCATGAAAATTGTTTCATTTTGGGGGTCAAAAATTGGATATGAAGGATTCACCCTCTCTGAGGGAGTTAAATCTGAATTAACTCCATGGAGAGTCCTCTGGCCTGGATTTCCATGGATTTTAACCCTTTTTTGGGGCTCATCCTGCTCCAGTAAAGAGAGAATATCCAAGGATCTGAAGGATTTGTCCTCCCTGAGGGAGTTAAATCTGAATTACCACACCCCAGAGCTGCTGCTTCCCCCTCTGTGCTCATCCCCTGCTCTTTCCCAACCCCCTGGAAGAGGGTGGGGAGAGCAGGGCCAGGGGACAATGGGGCATCCTGGTGGCCCGGGGCCATCCCAGCAGGAAGCTGGCTGACATTCCCGGGGCTCTGCTTCCTCCTCCTCCTCCTCCTCCTGGGGCAGGGATGCTTGGCAGCAGCTCAGCCCTTCAGAAAGGACGCAGAACCTCGCTGGAGTTATTCTGGGGGAGAAGGAAATGATGCAAGGAGGGATTTCTCCATTTGGAGGAAGTTGGATTTCCGTCCAGGCCGTTCCCTAACCCACCTTGGTGGTGGTTTTTTTTGTTGTTTTTTTTTTTTAAATTTAATTTTTTTTTTTAATTTAATTTTTTTTTTCTTCATAAAGATTTTTCTGGCCTGGCTGAGAAGGGGGTTCAGCTGCTCAGAGCTTGGGGAGAGCAGCTGGAAATCAGCCCCATCCTCCTGCTTTGGCAGCAGAGGCTGCCCCGAGCTCTGTCCTGGGGGTTGGGGACAATTCCCTGGGCCTGGGGACGATCCCTGGGGACAATCCCTGGACGTGGGGACAAATCTCTGGGGACAATCCCCGGGCCTGGGGATGATCCCTGGCTGTGGGCCTGGGGACAAATCCCCGGGTGTGAGGACAAATCCCTGTGGACAAATCCCTGGGCCTGGGGACAAATCCCTGGGTGTGGAGACAAATCTCTGGGGACAATTCCCTGGGTGTGGGGACAATCCCTGGGGACAATTCCCTGGCTGTGGGGACAATCCCTGGAGACAATCCCTGGTTGTGGGGACAATTCCCTGGGTGTAGGGACAAATTCCTGGCTGTGGGGACAATTCCCTGGGTGTGGGGAGAATCCCTGGGGACAATCCCTGGGTGTGGGGACAAATTCCTGGCTGTGGGGACAATCCCTGGGGACAGTCCCTGGGCCTGGGGACAATTCCCTGGGCCTGGGGACAATCCCTGGGGACAGTCCCTGGGTGTGGGGACAAATCCCTGGGTATGGGGACAATTCCCTGGGTGTAGGGACAATCCCTGGGTGTGGAGACAAATCTCTGGGGACAATTCCCTGGGCCTGGGGACAACTCCCTGTGTGTGGGGACAATTCCCTGTGCCTGGGGCCAGTGGCACCTGCAGCTGGCACTGCCAGCTCAGGGATGCTGAGGAGCCAGAGCTGGTCGGTGGGGCAGGATCCAGCCCTGGGGACAGTGTCCCAGCTGTGTCCCAGCCCTGAGGGTGGCAGCGGCTCTTGGCCAGGGCTGGGAGCTCCCCGTGGCCTCAGGGAGCCTTTGGGCTCTGCTGGGTGAGGAGGCAGCTCCAGATCCCTTCCCAAGAACCTGGAGCAGCTTTCCCAACCCTCTGGATCCCCCAGGTGGGGACAGAGCTGTCCCCTGTGTGTCCCACTCAGGACATGTCCTTCCTCCTTGTCCCAGGCCTCATCTTCCTCCTCAGGGACCCTCTGTTTTCCAGAGCTCCTTTTTGCTGTGGGTTTGGATTAAAAAGGCAGATCCTGGGAGGGGGAGGCAGGAATGGCTTCCTGAGGGAAAAGGGGAGCCTGGGAAGTGCCAGCTTGGGGCAGCTTGGGCAATTCTGCTCCTTTGAGCAACTCAGGGCGGGTTTGTGGTGTCAGGGGAAGAGGGGAATGGGGGAAAAACAGGAAAAAAAAAGGGGGAAATGAAGATGTGAGCTTAGAAAGAAAGGCACGTCCCCAAATCCCTCTGGGCTGCAGATCCTCCCTCTGTGCGGCGCTGGCTGGAACCCTGAATTTTGGGAGAAAAGGGGATTTGTGCTGGGCAGGGTGAGGCCCTGAACCTGACCTGAGCTCTGGGGGCTCAGCCTCAGCTCCTGGGGGGGTTTTCTTTTACCAGCAGGGCCACTGTCCCCTTTCCTGCCACCATCCCCTGTCCTGCCACTGTCCCCTGTCCCAGGGACACCCTCAGGCCTTTCTGAGCCCCTCACCCAAATCTGTTCCTGGTGAAGGGAAAAGAGGCTGGAAAACCCCTCCTGGTGGGATATGGGGCTGGGGAAGGGGAAGGGACTGACGCTGGGAGGACACAGCTCTGTGCCACCCCCAGAGGGGACAGCAGTGACATCCCAGCGAGGCCTCCACGTCTGTGCCCCCCCAGTTGGGTTCAGCTGCTGCTCCAGCCTTGCCAGAGCTGGGATTTGAGGGCAGGGATCCCAAATTTCATGCTGGGGCTCTCCTTGTGTTCTCCTTGGACCTGCTGGGGGACGGCTCTGCCAAGGTTTGTCCCTGTCCCCATCCCTGGCAGGGCCAGGAGGGGCTCAGGAGGTTTGGGAGCAGCTGAAGGAGGCTCCCAGCCTTCCACCATCTGCTCCCAGCCTGCCTGGCTCCTGCACACCCCAGAAAAACCTGCTGGGATTTTGGAGGGAGCAGCCCAGGCTGGGATGGAGGCATTGGGAAGCCCCAGAGGGTGTTGGTGTGGCTGATCAGGTCTGGGGATGCTCCCAGCACTCCTGGAGGCTTTCTTGCTGGAGAAAAGGGGGATTTTCTGCCACAAAACAAACCAAAAAAAGCATTCCCAGCCTGAGATTTTCCTCCTGCCCTGAGCTGGGAGCCTGGACAACAGCCTGGCCCCTTGGGAGTGGGGAAGGGATTGGGAATGGTGTCCCTGCTGTCCCTTTCCCTTTGTCCCTGCCATGGATTTCCCTCTGTCCCTGCTCTGCTTTTCCCCCCTGGGCTCTCCCAGCCCTTTGCAAAGCGAGGACTGTCCAGGGCTAATCCCTGGAAAGAAGAATCCGCATTTTTCTCTCTCTCCTCTCCCTGTTCCTGGCTCTGAGCAACGGGGACAGCGTGGGGACAACCCCTGTGTGATCCCAGGGTCTCCTGATCCATCCCATAACCTCCTGTCCTCGCTCGCCCCACAGAACTGGGAGCTGCTGGTCCTGGAGAAGCTCAAGTGGGACCTGGTGTCGGTGATTGCCAACGATTTCCTGCCCCACATCCTGCACCAGCTGCCGCTGCCCCTGGACAAGGTGGAGCTGGTGAAGAAACACGCCCAGACCTTCATCGCCCTGTGTGCCACAGGTGGGTGCTGGGCTGGGGACACCTGGCATGGGCTCCAGGCTGTTTTTGGGAACTGGGTGCCTGCCTGTGGGAATCCAGAGCATCCTTCTGGCTGCCCTGGGACCCTGGCAGGGGTCAGAACCCCCCTGGACAGAGCCCCCAGAGACACTGGCTGTGATCTCTGTCCATGGAAAAGAGTTTTCAATCTTACAGGATGAATTACCACCTCTGAGGGCTTGATATCAGTAATAATTAAGTGTGGCACGGGTGCAAAAGTAAAATTTTAGGATTCTAGATTAGGGGTTCAAAGGGGACAAGATGGAGGAAATTGGGTGTGCCTTGTCCTTTTTCTCCTTCTTCATGCCCTCCATGTTTCACTGTGGTGTTGGCATTTTTCTGTTGGTTCAGGCTGGGGACACACTGTCCAACGTAGGTGACAGATATTGGCACGTTATTGTAAATCCAGCACAGGTAGTTTGTGGTATTTAATGTTTGTAACATCCCACTGAGGGCAGAGCCCCACACGCTGCCCTGCAGGACAGAGCTGCGGCAGGGCAGCAGAACATGTTAGAGATAAACAGAATAAACAACCTTGAAACCAGCACAGACCAATTATGGCTTCTTTGGTAGTGGGGCTGACAGACAGAGACTTTCTACATTTTGGGATCATCAATACCACAAATTCTGACCCCTGCCTTGTTGCAGGCAGAGCCCTTCAAGGTGGGGCAGCGCTCCTGGGGGCTCTGAGGTGCCAGGAGAGCAGAGCCACGTTCCAGCCTCTTGCTGTGCCTGTTGAATCCCCACTTTTCTCAGCCTCTCCCTCAGTCTCTGCAGCCAGCTTATCCCAAAACCCCTCCTGGAAGCCTGGCCCTGCTGCCCAGCCCCTCCAGCGTGGTTCTGCTGCCAAACCCCCGTTCCCCAGGGCAGCTGCACCCCGCTAACATCTCCTTCATCTCCTTCCCGCAGACGACACCTTCGTGATGTACCCCCCGTCCATGATCGCCACCGGCAGCATCGGCGCCGCCATCCACGGCCTCAGCCTGCCCGGCAGCGGCGACGCCGTCACCGAGCTGCTGGCCGGGACCACGGGCACCGAGGTGGTGAGTGGGCACGGGGCTGCACGGGGCTGGGAGCACCGTGGAGTTTTCCACCAGGGTGGGACAGCTGTGGGGTCTGTGCCTCTGGAGATGGTCCAGCCACACCTGGGGGTGTCACCTGTGTCACCTGCTCCAGGTGTGAGGGGATGGAGTGGTCCTGGTGGTGGAGAGCTGGGGATGGACTGGTGGCGGTGGTGGTCAGCCCAGGATGGTCTGGCCATGGTGATGGTCAGCCCAGGGATGCAGAGATGGTCTGGCTGTGCTGATGGTCAGCTCAGGATGTTCTGGCTGTGGTGATGGTCAGCCCAGGATGGTCTGGCCATGGTGATGGTCAGCTCAGGGATGGTCTGGCTGTGGTGATGGTCAGCCCAGGGTTGGACTGGCTGTGGTGATGGTCAGCCCAGGGATGGTCTGGCTGTGGTGATGGTCAGCCCAGGATGGACTGGCTGTGGTGATGGTCAGCCCAGGAATGCAGAGATGGTCTGGCTGTGGTGATGGTCAGCCCAGGATGGTCTGGCTGTGGTGATGGTCACCCCAGTGTGGTGATGGTCAGCCCAGGATGGTCTGGCCATGGTGATGGTCAGCCCAGGGATGGTCTGGCCATGGTGATGGTCAGCCCAGGATGGTCTGGCCGTGCTGATGGTCAGCCCAGGATGGTCTGGCTGTGGTGATGGTCAGCCCAGGATGGTCTGGCCATGGTGATGGTCAGCCCAGGGATGGTTTGGCTGTGGTGATGGTCAGCCCAGGATGGTCTGGCCGTGGTGATGGTCAGCTCAGGGATGGTCTGGCCATGCTGATGGTCAGCCCAGGGATGTGGGCACAGGGATGGACTCCAGAGGGCCCTTCCAGCAGCAGCTCCTGTGGGATTCTGTGGAATTGTGCTGTTCAAACAGTGCTGCCCCACTTTGAGGCTGTGGGGTGATCCCAAAGCCAGCCCCGGGCAGGGCGGGGTGGCTGCAGAGCCTTTGAAATGCCACACAAAGGGCAGGATCTGTTCCCTGCCCGGGCAGGTGTTGGCAGGATCGGGTTCTCGGGGGACAGGGACACGTCAGGCTCCGCATCTGCTCCCCTCGGGGTCCGGTTGCAGATGTCCTGGCTGGGGGAAAGGGGGGTGGGACATGGAATCTGCCAGGTTTGGGGACACAGGATGGGGGGTGGGACATGAAACCTGCCCAGTTTGGGGACACAGGATGGGGGGTGGGACATTAAACCTGACAGGTTTGGGGACAGGATGGGGGGTGGGACATGGAATCTGCCCAATTTGGGGACACAGGATGGGGGGCTGGGATATGAAACCTGCCCGGTTTGGGGACACAGGATGGGGGGTGGGACATTAAACCTGCCCAGTTTGGGGACACAGGATGGGGGGTGGGACATGGAATCTGCCAGGTTTGGGGACATCAGGATGGGGGGGTGACCTGCCAGGTTTGGGGACACAGGATGGGGGGTGGGACACGGAATCTGCCTGGTTTGGGGACACAGGATGGGGGGTGACCTGCTCGGTTTGGGGACAGAGGATGGGGGGTTCTCCAGCCCCTCACTGCCCTCGGAGCAGGGACAGGATGCTGTGGGGCTCTCCAGGTCGCTGCAATCAGGAGCTTTTCCTCTCCTCTTTGATCTCCTCCCCTGCCCAGGTCAGTTACAGTCCCCTGCCAGGACCTGGGGCAGGGTGGGGGTGGCTTTGTCCGGGGGGAGGCTCCCGAGCCGTTTGTGCAGATGGAATTTTTTTGTTCTCTGGAGCCTTTTTAAAGAGAGAATCAGTGCAGCCACCTGCTCCCAACCTGCTCCGGGAGGTCGGGGCTGTGCAGGGAACAGGTGGGAAGCAGGGAGGGCTCTGTGCAGGGAGAGGGGCTGAAATGGAGCCCAGCACCCTCCTGTCCCTCCCCGGCATCTGCTGTGCCCCTGCCCACGTGTGGGAGCCTCACAAACAGCTCCAGCCCAGGCAGGACCACGGCAGTTCCTCCTGGGATGGGAACAGAAAATTTGGGGATCCTGGGAGAGCATCCAGGGGATGGTCAGACCCTGCCCAGGTGGGGATGGTCAGACCCTGCCCAGGTGGGGATGGACAGACCCTGCCCAGATGTCCCCAGGGATGGTCAGACCCTGCCCAGGTGCCCCTGGGGATGGTCAGACCCTGCTCAGATGCCCTCAGGGATGGACAGACCCTGCCCAGGTGTCCCCAGGGATGGACAAACCCTGCCCAGGTGTCCCTGGGGATGGTCAAACCCTGCCCAGGTGCCCTCAGGGACGGTCAGACCCTGCCCAGGTGTCCCCAGGGATGGTCAGACCCTGCCCAGGTGCCCCTGGGGATGGTCAGACCCTGCCCAGGTGCCCCTGGCGCTCGTGCCAGGGCAGGAGGAGGCTTTGCTGACGGGAAGCCGGGCAAGGGGAGCTGGGCGAGGGGAGCTGGGCGTTGCTATTTTCTCTCACCACATCCTCTGTCGGTTTCTAAGAACTGCTGGCGGATTCCTGGTACGAGATTTCGGGGTGTGACAATGTCCCCTGTGAGGTGCAAACTGTCACCAGGCTGAGCCGGGCTGGGCTGTGCCCTGGGGGTGTCCGGGTGGGACTTTCCTTCTCTGTGGGGAAAATCAGAGTGGGGTTTGCATTTCTGGGGCTGTTGGCAGCCCCCTGAGCCTTCCTGTGACCTGGGGGTGGCACAGAGGGGACAGGAGGGTGAAAGCCTTGTGAGAAGCTCAGGAGCCACAGCAGGGTTGTCCCAGCGTGGTGTGTGGGGTGGCTTTGGGGTCAGGGGGGTTCCTGCTGCCTCGGGAGCAGCCAGCAGGATTGCTGTGCCCAGCTCTGCTGCAGGGCCACCCCGAGCTCTGGGAGAGCTGCAGGGGGATCCGTGCTCCAAGGACAGGCAGATTTTTGGGAGCTGGGAAGTTTGGCCTGCCCTTGGCACGCTGCTGAAGGCACAGCCTGGCTCCAGGACTTTGGGAAGCTCTGCTGTGTGGGAACCCAGAGCTTCCCTCTGGCTTCCCTCTGGCTGCCCTGGGACCCTGGCAGGGGTCAGGAACCCCCCGGGACAGAGCCCCCAGAGACACTGGCTGTGATCTCTGCCCATGGAAGAGTTTTCAATCTTACAGGATGAATTACAAGCTCTGAGGGTTTGATATCAGTAATAATTAAGTGAGGCACGGGTGCAAAAGTAAAATTTTAGGATTCTAGATGAGGGGTTCAAAGGGGACAAGATGGAGGAAATTGGGTGTGTCTTGTCCTTTTCCTCCTTCTTCATGCCCTCCATGTTTCACTGTGGTGTTGGCATTTTTCTGTTGGTTCAGGCTGGGGACACACTGTCCAACGTAGGTGACAGATATTGGCACGTTATTGTAAATGCAGCACAGGTAGTTTGTGGTATTTAATGTTTGTACCATCCCACTGAGGGCAGAGCCCCACACGCTGCCCTGCAGGACAGAGCTGCGGCAGGGCAGCAGAACATGGTAGAGATAAACAGAATAAACAACCTTGAAACCAGCACAGACCAATTATGGCTTCTGCTTTGGCAGCGGGGCTGACAGACAGAGACTTTCCACATTTTGGGATCATCAATACCCACAGATTCCGACACTGCTGGACACGGCATTCCTGCAGAACAGGGTGGGAAACCAGAGTGTGGGGCTTTCCCTGGGCAGGGAGAAGCTGATGGAGGAAATCTGCTTTTCCCTGGAGATGGTGCTGGGGGTCAGAGGTGCTCCCCAAGGAGCAGCAGCTGATTCCCTCCATGTGTTCCCATTCCAGGACTGCCTGAAGGCGTGCCAGGAGCAGATCGAGGCGGCCTTGGCCGAGAGCCTGAAGCAGGCATCGCAATCCCAGCAGGAATTCAGCGCCAAGACTCCGGCCTACGGGGGCAGCCAGCCCACCAGCACCCCCACGGACGTCACCGACATCAACCTGTGACCCACCTGTGTCCATCTGCCCCTCCCTGGGCACCCCCAGCTCGCTGCACCCCCTGCCCACCCAGCGCCTCCGAGGGTCCTGCCCTGCTGGGAACGCGGGGCTGGATCCGCTCGGGGGGTGCTGGCACGGGACAGGAGCCTGGATGGAGCTGGAATTGTCCCTCTGTTGGTGTTCCCGCCTCTCCGGGCTCTTCATGGCATTTTCCAGCCCCGTGAGGAATGGAAATCCCAGAGGGATCCTGCAGGACCCGAATCCCGGGCCGGGAAGGAGCCCTGGGCTGGATTTTGCTGGTGGATGTGGGATTTTGGGGATTCGCTCCCCGTCCGTGCCTTAGGAGGAGTTCGGGGTCCACTCGGCTGCTTCATTTGTTGTTCACTGCTGGGAAACTCCCGGGAAAAAAAATCGGAATTCGTGGGAAAAATTCTCGCTCAGAGGTCTGAATACCTGGGAAAAATTCCTGCTCAGAGTTTGGGATTCCTGGGAAAAATTCCTGCTCAGTGTTTGGGATTCCTGGGGAAAATTCCTGCTCAGAGTTTGGAATTCCTGGAGAAAATTCCTGCTCAGACCTTGGAATTTCCAGGAAAAATTCCTGCTGACAGCTTGGAATTCCTGGGAAAAATTCCTGCTCAGAGTTTGGAATTTCCGGGAAAAATTCCTGCTCAGAGTTTGGAATTTCCGGGAAAAATTCCCGCTCAGACCTCAGAATTCATGGGAAAAATTCCCGCTCAGAGCTTGGAATTCCTGGGAAAAATTCCCGCTCAGATCTCGGAATTTTCGGGAAAAATTCCTGCTCAGAGTTTGGAATTCCTGGGAGAAAAATCCCGCAAAAAAATTGACATTCCCAAGAAAAATTCACACTCAAAGCTGGGAATTCCCAGGAAAAATTCCCGCTCAGAGTTTGGAATTCCCGGGGAAAATTCTCACAAAAATTTGAAATTCCCAGGAAAAATTTGCATTTAAAGCTGGGAATTCCCTGGAAAAATTCCCTCCGGGGTGGGGCCTGGATGCCGCTCTCCTCTCCTTCCCAAAATCTCCTTCCCAAAAAAGTGCCTTTTCCCCTCAGAGGCTCCTCGGAGGCTGCTGGGCCCGTCGGTAGCTTAGGCATCAGAGTAGGATTTCAGGAAAACCTTTGGATGTGCTGCTATAGTCTGGGATGCATCTCCGCTCTCCCAAGGCCGGGATTTGGGATCATCCATCCCGTGGATCCCAGCTGCCCTCCCCAGAGGGTGGACGGAAAACTTTGCTGCGCACTTGAGTTGGAAAAGCAATTACTGCATTTTTGTATTGTTGTTGTTGTTGATCCTGTTCGTATTTTTTTTTTTTTTATAAAAGTTGTTGTAAAACAGAAGAAAAAAAAAAAATAATGCTGCTTTTCTATGAGAAAACCAGAGTGGAATTAAGCAGAAGGCAGAGATTCCACAGGGATGGGAGGCAGACGCTGCTGCTGCTGCTGCCTCTGGACATGTGGCTGTTGTCCTCCCGTGGGGGATGTGGAAAAGGAGGAGGAAATTTTCCTTTTGGATGCCACCAGCCCCACAAAATCCAGCGGAAAAAGGTGGGGCTGCTGCTCCTCCCCAAGCCACGGAGCCGCTGCCTCCTGCGAGCAGGAGGGTTGGGACAGAGCCTGGCTGTGCTAAATGAAATGTTTCATTTTTTATATATACATATATATCTATATAAATGAATTTTTAACTTAAGAGTAAACTGGTTTGGTGTTCACTCGCACGAGTCCCGCTGCTGGGAGAGCCAGAGAACCCTGTGATGTTGCAATAAAATATTTTAAACAAAAAAATAACAACCCAGTGGCTTGAGGGTTTCTCTGTGTAGTTCCCAGGGTGGGGCTGGGATCTTTCCCTGGTGCTGGGGATCCCTTGGGAGTTCCAGGGTGGAATGAGGAGCCTGAGGGAGCTCAGGGGTGGTGATGGAGCCAAAAACCTTCCTGCAGGTGAGGAGGCAGCAGGAGTGGCAGGAGAGGAGAGTGCCAGGTGCTCTGTGCCAGCCCAGCTCCTCCTGCGCCCATCAGCCTCTGCCTTCCTTCAAACAAAAGCAGGAAAAAGGCAGAGGGGTGTGGGGACCCAGGAGGTGACAGCAGCGGGCAGCTCCCTTGGCACAGCTCTGCGTGGTGCCAGGGAAGTGCTGCCTGGTGGAAAAGTCCCCCCTGGATTTCCAGCTGAGCTGGCACTTGGGCACAGTGAGGACAGTGGCCCTGTGGCTTCAGGAATTACAGCCTGGGGGGATTTGGGGACAGGGACAGGGACAGGCTGGGACCACGGCAAGCAGAGCCAGCCCTGACTGACACGGCTCTGGTTTTATTTCCGAGTACAGAACAAGACAAAGTGTCCCAGTGCTGGTGGCACTGGGCTCCTGGGGGGCACAGGGGCTGCCCTGGCCCGTGATAGCAGCACAGGGCATGCAGTCCAGCTCTGTGGCACAGCCTGTGGAGGAGGCTCCGGATCCAGGAGGGATGTTCCTGATCCAGGAGGGATGTTCCTGACCCAGGAGGGACACCCCTGATCGAGGAGGGACACCCCTGATCCAGGAGGCACGTTCCTGATCCAGGAGGGACATTCCTGACCCAGGAGGGACACCCCTGATCCAGGAGGGATGTTCCTGATCCAGGAGGGACGCTCCTGATCCAGGAGGGACACCCCTGATCCACGAGAAATGCTCCTGATCCAGGAGGGACGCTCCTGATCCAGGAGGGACACTCCTGACCCAGGAGGGACACCCTGATTCAGAAGGGACACCCCTGATCCAGGAGGGACACCCCTGATCCAGGAGGGACGCTCCTGATCCAGGAGGGAACCCCTGACCCAGGAGGGACACCCCTGATCCAGGAGGGACGCTCCTGATCCATGAGGGACACCCTGATCCAGGAGAAACACTCCTGACCCAGGAGGGACACCCTGATCCAGGAGGGACGTTCCTGATCCAGGAGAAACGCTCCTGATCCAGGAGAAACGCTCCTGACCCAGGAGGGACACCCCTGACCCAGGAGGGACACCCCTGATCCAGGAGAAACGCTCCTGACCCAGGAGGGACACCCTGACCCAGGAGGGACACCCTGATCCACGAGGGATATTCCTGACCCAGGAGGGACGCCCCTGACCCAGGAGGGACACCCCTGATCCAGGACGGACACCCCTGACCCAGGAGGGATGCCCCTGATCCAGGAGGGATGCCCCTGATCCAGGAAGAACACTCCTGACCCAGGAGGGACACCCCTGATCCAGAAGGGACACCCCTGATCCAGAAGGGACACCCCTGATCCAGGAGAAACGCTCCTGATCCAGGAGGGAACCCCTGACCCAGGAGGGACACCCTAATCCAGGAGGGACGTTCCTCATCCAGGCTCCTGGCTGCACCCAGCAGCATCCCAGGGCCAGGCCAGGCTCCAGCCCTTCCCTGCTCACTCCATGGCCGCCGGCTGCTCCCCTTCCACGTCCCTCGTCTTGGAGTTCATCAGCTCGCGGCGGATCTCGGGCGAGATCTGGGGGTGGCTGTGGAACTTGAGCAGCTCCAGCAGGGCCTCCTTCTGCTCCGAGGACAGGTCCTCCTTGTAGCGCTGGGCCAGGGCCAGCAAGCTCTGGTGCCACAGCACGGGCAGGAGCCGCTGCTCCGAGCGGAAGGCCAGGAAGTGGAAGACCAGGGCGTCGAGCACGCGGAAGGGCAGCGCGTACTTCTTGTCGATGAGCAGGCGCAGGAAGATGCTGTTGGCGCCGCTGTACTGCATCTCAGCCAGCTTCAGCAGCGCCGCGCTGCGGAGGGACACCGACAGTCAGGGCATGGGACACGGGGACACGGGGACACAGGAGAAGTGAGGGGACACGGGGACACGGGGACACGGGACGGGTGAGGGGTCAGGGACAGGGACACGGGAGAGGTGAAGGGTCAGGGACAGGGACACGGGAGAGGTGAGGGGTCAGGGACACAACACAGGAGAGGTGAAGGGTTAGGGACAGGGACACAGGAGAGATGAGGGGTCAGGGGATGGAGCTATGGGGACACAGGACGGGTGAGGGGTTGGGGACAGGGACACAGGAGAGGTGAGGGGACAGGGACAGAGCCATGGGGACACAGGAGAGGTGAGGGGACAGGGACACAGGGACACAGGAGAGGTGAGGGGTTAGGGAACAGGGACATGGGAAAAGTGAGGGGACAGGGACAGAGGGACAGAGGAGAGGTGAGGAGTCAGGGGACAGGGACACAGGGACACAGGACAGGTGAGGGGTCAGAGGATGCAGACATTGGGAAAAAAGGAGAGATGAGGGGTCAGGGGATGGAGCTATGGGGACACGGGAGAGGTGAGGGGACAGGGACACAGGGACACAGGACAGGTGAGGGATCAGGGACAGGGACACAGGAGAGGTGAGGGGACAGGGACACAAGGACACAGGAGAGGTGAAGGGTTAGGGACAGGGACACAGGAGAGGTGAGGGGACAGGGACACGGGAGAGGTGAGGGGTGAGGGACAGGGACACAGGAGAGGTGAGGGGTCAGAGGATGGAGCTATGGGGACACAGGAGAGGTGAAGGGGTCAGGGGACAAGGACACAGGGATATGGGGGAGGTGAGGGGTCAGGGACAGGGACACGGGAGAGGTGAGGGGTCAGGGACAGAGCCATGGGGACACAGGAGAGGTGAGGGGATAGGGAACAGGGACATGGGAAAAGTGAGGGGACAGGGACACAGGGACACAGGAGGTGATGGGTCAGGGGATGGAGACACAGAGACACAAGAGAGGTGATGGGTTACGGAACAGGGACACGGGAAAGGTGAGGGGACAGGGACACAGGAGAGGTGAGGGGTCAGGGAATGGAGCTATGGGGACACAGGAGAGGTGAGGGGTCAGGGGACAGAGCCACGGGGACAGAAGAACAAGCACAGGTTGAAGTCATGGGGGCCAAGGAATGGCATGAGAGGGGCCAGGCTGGAGCCACAGTGACTCTCCATGGAGTCACGAGGGCTGGAGCCATGGGGACAGAGGAGGGACCACAGGGGTCAGAGGTAACTGCACTGGAGCCATGGAGCACCGGGGACTCGGGCACAAAGCTGAGCCTCGAATCTCAACCCCAGAGGGAGCTGAGTGACCCCTCAGCACCTCCGAGGGGCTGCAGAGGCCGAGGGGCAGATCCAAGGGTCCCTGGAGGAGAAGCTCTTCCCCTCCAGCCCCTCGGGGCCTCACCTGGAGTGCAGGACGGGGATGGAGCACTTGGTGAGGATGCTGCCGATGATGATGGCCTCCCTGAGCGTGCAGGTGCCGGACTCACAGAGCGGGATGAGGATCCCTGGGAACGGGGACACTCAGGCACCGACCACCTCCATCCCCACAGAGAACCCTGGGGCTCAGCCCCTTCCCCCTACAAATCACCACTCTGGCAGCAGCAGCTGGACAGCCCCTGTCATGCACCAGCCCCTCAGGCAGCCAGCCAAGGCCCAGAGGAGACCCTGCAGGACCCCTACCCTTGAACCAGACCCCACAGGACCCCTACCCTTGAACCAGACCCCACAGGACCCCTACCATTGAACCGGACCCTGCTGGACCCCCTACCCTTGAGCCAGACCCTGCAGGACCCCTACCCTTGAACCAGACCCTGCAGGACCCCTACCCTTGATCCAGACCCCACAGGACCCCCTACCCTTGAACCAGACCCTGCAGGACCCCTACCCTTGAACCAGACCCCGCAGGACCCCTACACTTGAACCAGACCCCACAGGACCCCTACCCTTGAACCAGACCCCACAGGACCCCTACCCTTGAGCCAGACCCTGCAGGACCCCCTACCCTTGAGCTAGACCCTGCAGGACCCCTACCCTTAAACCAGACCCTGCACTACCCTTGAGCCAGACCCTGCTGGACCCCCTACCCTTGAACCAGACCCTGCTGGACCCCCTACCCTTGAACCAGACCCCACAGGACCCCCTACCCCTGAGCCAGACCCTGCAGGACCCCCTACCCTTCAACCAGACCCCACAGGACCCCCTACCCCTGAGCCAGACCCTGCAGGACCCCCTACCCTTCAACCAGACCCCACAGGACCCCTACCCTTGAACCAGACCCCACAGGACCCCTACCCTTGAGCCAGACCCTGCTGGACCCCCTACCCTTGAGCCAGACCCTGCAGGACCCCCTACCCTTGAACCAGATCCTGCAGGACCCCCTACCCTTGAACCAGACCCCACAGGACCCCCTACCCTTGAACCAGACCCTGCTGGACCCCTACCCTTGAACCAGACCCTGCTGGACCCCTACCCTTGAACCAGACCCTGCTGGACCCCCTACCCTTGAGCCAGACCCCACAGGACCCCCTACCCTTGAACCAGACCCTGCAGGACCCCCTACCCTTGAACCAGGCCGCTGGTTTGAACAGAGCTTTCTTCAGAGCCATGTACAGGTGGAAGTTGAGCCGCTTGTACTCGGCGATGTCGTCCCGGATCCGTGGCAGCAGCACCAGGTTGTAGAACCTCTGGGCCATCCTCTCCTTCAGGTTGGAGGAAAATATCCTGGGTTCAGCAAAGCACAAAGGGATGGATGAGGAAAAAAGGTCAAATGGGTGGGTTGATGTTTTGTAAATCTGACTCTGGTTATGGGAAAAAAAACCCCAAAAATCCCTGAGGTGACCTTACCTGGTGGCCTGGTACATGGCAGCAGCTGTCCACGTCTCCGGCTCAGTGATGTAGAGGATCTGCTCCCAGTTGGACAAGGCAGGGATGATTTTAAACGCCTTGGGGAGCTTCCCACTCCTGTACTTGGACAGCACCTTCAAAGACAGGGACACGGGCCAGGCCATGACTGGAGGAAGTGACAGCAGGGACAAGAGCACGTTGTCACCTCAGGGGGTGGCTGTGGGTTCAGCTGCCCCTCCTCACCTCCCTGACACCCCTGTAGACCTCCAGGACACGGGGGTCGAGCTGGGGCATGGGGCAGCCCGAGAGCTCGGACAGCGCCGACTCCACCTCGGTCTGCTTCTCCGTGATCTTCTCCATGATGATATCGGCCAGCGTGCGCCTGGGGCCGGCACGGGACAGGTCAGTGGGGACAAAGAAGGGACAGGGTCAGCGGGGACAAGGGAGAGCTGGCAGGGGACAGGGTCAGCGGGGACAAGACAGGGCTGGCATGGGACAGGGTCAGCGGGGACCAGGGAGGGCTGGTACGGGACAGGGTCAGCGGGGACAAGGGAGGGCTGGTACGGGACAGGGTCAGCGGGGACAAGGGAGGGCTGGCACGGGACAGGGTCAGTGGGGACAAGGGAGGGCTGGCACGGGACAGGGTCAGCGGGGACAAGGGAGGGCTGGCACGGGACAGGGTCAGCGGGGACAAAGAAGGGACAGGTCAGCAGGGACAAAGAAGGGACAGGTCAGCAGGGACCAGGGAGGCTGGCACGGGACAGGGTCAACAGGGACAAAGGAGGGCTGGCACGGGACAGGGTCAGCGGGGACAAGGGAGGGCTGGCACGGGACAGGGTCAGTGGGGACAAGGGAGGGCTGGCACGGGACAGGGTCAGCGGGGACCAGGGAGGGCTGGCACGGGACAGGGTCAGTGGGGACAAGGGAGAGCTGGCAGGGGACAGGGTCAGCAGGGACAAAGAAGGGACAGAGTCAGGGGGGACCAGGGAGGACTGGCACGGGACAGGGGCTGGCAGGGGCTGACAAGGGAGGGGGGCGTGCTGGGGTCTGTGCAGGGCCAGCACGGGACCGGGGGGAGAATCGGGGTCGTGGGAGGATGACACGATGGGATCACATCCCACGGGATGGGGGTGAGCTGGGGGCTGACGTGGGACAGGGATTGAGTCGGGGGCCGAGACAGGGGGGGTGAACCGCGGGTCGCATGGGGCTGACACCGGCCAGGGCAGAGCCGGGGCAGGGAGGCGGCCCCTGCCCGGTGCAGCCCCCCGGTCGGTCACCTCAGCGGCGGGTTCTTGTTCATGAACATCTCGATGGCTTTCTCATCCTCGGGGTCCACCTCCACCTCCCCGCCGTAATCCCCGCTCGGTCCCGCCGCCGCCGCTTTCTCCAGCGAAGGCCATTCCTCATCATCCTCCGAGTCGGAGCCGGGAGCTGCGGGAGCGGCGCTGGCTCAGCCGGGGCCGCGCACCCTCGGCGGTTCCCCAGGGCTTACCGGGGGCTCACCGAGCACCGCGCCGCGCTGCCGGGGGGCTGCGGGCGCCCCGGGGCCGTGCTCGGCCTCCAGCTCCTCCTGCTGCCGCCGTGCTTGCTCCAGGATGCGGCGGGACAGCCGCGCGTCCACGAAGCCGTCCCCGCCGCCATCCCCGCCCGGCTCCTCCGCGCCGGCCCCGCGCCTCTCCCGCACCCGCGGGGCCGCGTCCTGCAGGATCTGCTCGGCCAAGGGCAGCGCCGGGGCCGCGCCGGAGCCCCGCGCCCGCCGGGCCTTGGGCATCCTGCGGGACCGGGAACACCGGCTCCGCACCGGGCACAGACACGCGGGATCGGCCCCGCCTGTTCCGGGGCGGCTCCGCCTCTTCCCGGCGCCGCCGGTCCCGCCCGTTCCGGTGGTGGCGCCGGCGGGATGGGGGTCACCTGGTGAGAGCGGCGGCTCCGGGACGGGATCCGCTGGGGGGGAAGGCACCGGGATAGACTGGGAACGGGGATGGAACCGGGACAGACTCCTGGAATGGGGATGGAACCGGGATAGACTCCTGGAACGGGGACGGAACCGGGACAGACTCCTGGAATGGGGATGGAACCGGGAAGGGCTCTTGGAATGGGGATGGAACCGGGAAAGACTCCTGGAATGGGGGCGGAATTGGGATAGACTAGAATGGGAGGGCGGCACCGGGATAGACTCCTGGCATGGGGATGAAACCGGGATAGACTCCTAAAACTGGGGGGCGGAACTGGGATAGACTCCTGGAATGGGGGGGCGGCACCGGCAAGGACTCCTGGAATGGGGATGGAACCGGGACAGACTCCTGGAATGGGGATGGAACCGGGATAGACTCCTGGAATGGGGATGGAACTGGGAAGGGCTCCTGGAATGGGGATGGAATCGGGATAAACTCCTAGAATTGGGGGGCGGAACCGGGATAGTCTCTGGGAATGGGGATGGAACCGGGAAGGGCTCCTGGCATGGGGATGGAACCGGGTCCGTGAGCCCCGGTCGGTGTCGCAGCGTGTCGCAGGTGCCGGTGGCCGAGGGCAAGAGCGTGCAGCAGACGGTGGAGCTGCTGGCGCGGCGGCTGGAGGCGCTGGGCGCGGACAAGCAGGGCACGTTCGGCGTGGACTGCGAGACCTACCACACCGCGGCCACCCTCGGCACGCAGGGTCAGCAGCGCCGGGGGCAGCGGGCAGCCCTTCCCCGAGCTCCTCTCTTCCATCCCGGCCTTCTCCTCCTTCACATTCTCTCCCTTCCCTCCTTCTCCTTCCCCACCTTCCCTGGAGGCGCCTGGATCTGATGCTGGTTGATGATTTAGGGGTTTAGGAGTTACAGTGGCAGTGCTGGGCTGAGGGTTGGACCGGCTGATCTTGAAGGTCTCTTCCAACTTCCATGAGTCTGTGATTCTACTATTCCTTCTTTCCTTTCTCCTTTTCCCTGTCTCATTTTCTCTTTTCCTCTTTTCCTTTTCCCTCCTCCCCTGGCTCCCCACATCCCTTCCAGGCTCTGATATGAGCCCACACAGCCCCAGCTCTGCGGATCCATTATTTCCCAGCCAGACCCACTGGAATCTTCCAGAGCAGCTTTTCCCCGCTTTTTTGGCAGCTGGAACATGGATGAGAGGGAGCCCAGGCTCCCTCCGGGCACTGGGTGGGAGGTGGGTGCTCCTGGGGTTCTCCTTTCACCTCACCCCGAGCCACGCTGATGTTTTATCCCGGTGCTGCCGAGGATTTTTTCCCCTATAAATTTCCAGAAGGAAATCCAACCTCTTCCCTGAATGGATACCACAATAAACCCGTGAGGATCCGGAATTAAAGCAAGGAGGACAAGAGGCAGGAAGAGGAGCTGCTTTAGGGCAGGAATTTGGTTTTCCAGCCCAGCTCCTTCGCTGTCATTCCAGGGCAGACGGGGAAGCTGATGTACGTCATGCACAACTCCGAGTACCCCCTGAGCTGCTTCGCCCTCTTCGAGAACGGGCCCTGCCTCGTGGCCGACGCCAACTTTGACACCCTCATGGTGAAGCTCAAGGGCTTCTTCCAGAACGCCAAGGCCAACAAGATCGAGAGCCGCGGCACCCGCTACCAGTACTGCGACTTCCTGGTGAAGCTGGGCACGGTCACCATGGGCCCCAGCGCCAGGGGCATCTCCGTGGAGGTGAGAGCCCTTTGGGAATGTGGGGAACGCCTGGATAGCCAGGGGAATTCCATGGGAGAAGCTGGAGAAGGAAGGTTTAGGGGTGATCTCAGTGAGGGTGTCTGAAGGGAGCCAACAGGGAAGATGGAGAGAGATGATTGAGTTACAAGAGCCCGGAGTTCCAGGAGAAGTGGGAATGGTTTCACACTGCCAGAGGGCAGGGCTAGATGGGATATTGGGAAGGAATTCTTCCCTGTGAGGGCTGGACACTGGGATTGGAGCAGCCTGGGACAGTGGGAGGTGTCCCTGCCCTGGATGAGCTTTAAGGTCCCTTTCCCCAAACCATTCCATGATCCCTGTCCTGTCCGTGTCTCAGTTGGGGAATTCCATGGGAGAAGCTGGAGAAGGAAGGTTTGGGGAGATCTCATTGAGGGTGTCTGAAGGGAGCCAACAGGGAAGATGGAGTTCCAGGAAAAGTAGGAATGGTTTCACACTGCCAGAGGGCAGGGCTAGATGGGATATTGGGAAGAAATTCTTCCCTGTGAGGGTGGGAAGACCCTGGAATAGATGTCCCACAGAGGCTGTGCTGCCCCTGGATTCCTGGAAGTGTCCACGGCCAGGCTGGACACTGGGACTGGGAGCAGCCTGGGGCAGTGGGAGGTGTCCCTGCCCTGGATGAGCTTTAAGGTCCCTTTCCCCAAACCATTCCATGATCCCTGTTCTGTCTGTGTCTCAGTCGTGCTGCTGGTGCAGTTTGGATCTCCTCTCCCAAGGTTTAATCCTTGGTGCTCCAGGGCTATCCCTGCAGGAATGCCATCCTGATAAAAAGCTGATTAAATTCCAGCTGCACAACACGAGCACCATCCCTCAGGTTAATCAGCATGGAAAAAGGGATAAAACAACCCCTCCAGTGCTGATTTGGGGCTTGCTGTCCTTCCCTTTGCAGTTTACCTTCCCTTCCCTTTGGAAAAGGTCTCCTGCATGTTCCCAGCATGTCCTGTCTGGTTTGTATTTACCCATCCTTGTTAGATGCTGAATATTTTGAGATGTTTCCATGAAAAGCCTTCCCTGCAGGGAGGCTCTAGGGCTGTGGGGATGTGTTCCCAGGTGGAATAGTGTCCTTCCTGGCAGCTCCAAGGCTATGGGGATGTGTTCCCAGGTGGAATTCTGTCCTTCCTGGCAGCTCCAAGGCTATGGGGATGTGTTCCCAGGTGGAATTCTGTCCTTCCTGCCAGCTCCAGGGGTCTGGGATGAGTTCCCAGGTGGAATTCTGTCCTTCCTGGCAGCTCCAGGGCTCTGGGGATGTGTTCCCAGGTGGAATTCTGTCCTTCCTGCCAGCTCCAAGGCTATGGGGATGTGTTCCCAGGTGGAATTCTGTCCTTCCTGCCAGCTCCAAGGCTATGGGGATGTGTTCCCGGGTGGAATTCTGTCCTTCCTGGCAGCTCCAGGGCTCTGGGGATGTGTTCCCAGGTGGAATACTGCCCCTGTGTGATCGCCAACGACTGCTGGAACCTGCTGATGGAGTTCATGCAGAGCTTCATGGGCAGCCACACGCCCGGGATCCCGTCGGTGTTCGGCTCCAAGCACGACAGCACCTACAGCCCCGGGGACACCATGGTGCAGTACATGGAGCTCTTCAACAAGATCCGCAAGCAGCAGCAGGTGCCCGTGGCTGGCATCAGGTGAAGAGGATCCCTGGAGCTCCTGCCTGCATCCTGATCCCTCCAGATCCCTCCTGGCTGGAGCAGGAGTCCCTCCAGATCCCCTGGAGCTCCTGCCTGCATCCTGATCCCTCCTGGCTGCATCCTGATCCTGGCTGGAGCAGGAATCCCTCCAGATCCCCTGGAATTCCTGATTGCATCCTGATCCTGGGATCCCCAGTCCCTCCAGATTCCTCCTGATTCATCCTGATCCTGGCTTGAGTCCCTCCAGATCTCCTGGAATTCCTGACTCATCCTGATCCTGGCTGGAGTCCCTCCAGATTCCATGGAATTCCTAACTGGATCCTGATCCTGGCTGGAGCAGGAGTCCCTCCAAATCTCCTGGAGCTCCTGGCTGCATCCTGATCCTGGCTGGAGTCCCTCCAGATCTCCTGGAATTCCCAACTGCATCCTGATCCTGGCTTGAGTCCCTCCAGATCTCCTGGAATTCCTGGCTGCATCCTGATCCTGGGATCCCCAGTCCCTCCAGATCCCCTGGAATTCCTAACTGGATCCTGATCCTGGCTGGAGCAGGAGTCCCTCCAGATCCCCTGGAATTCCTGACTGCATCCTGATCCTGGGATCCCCAGTCCCTCCAGATTCCATGGAATTCCTAACTGGATCCTGATCCTGGCTGGAGCAGGAGTCCCTCCAAATCTCCTGGAGCTCCTGGCTGCATCCCGATCCCTTCAGATCCCTCCTGATTCATCTTGATCCTGGCTGGAGCAGGAATCCCTCCAGATCCCCTGGAATTCCTGACTACATCCTGATCCTGAGATCCCAGTCCCTCCAGATCCCTCCTGACTACATCCTGATCCTGGCTGGAGTCTGTCCAGATCTCCTGGAATTCCTGGCTGCATCCTGATCCTGGGATCCCCAGTCCCTCCAGATCCCCTGGAATTCCTAACTGGATCCTGATCCTGGCTGGAGCAGGAGTCCCTCCAAAACGTGGCACAGGAGGCAGCCCCAGGAGTTTTTCCTTCTGGATCTTTCCCATTTCAAAGCTTTGCCGTGTTTAATCCTGGCATCCTCCACGGTTTGGGATTACTGAATCCATTGCTTGTGTGGTTTTTTTGGACAGTGTTTCATGCAGGGAATCGCTGTTTATTCACAGGGAAAAGAGAAATTCCAGCCAAAAGCACGGGCAGAGCTTCTGAGACTACAGAAATCTCTTACATTTATATTTTTTTATATCCACAGCGGTGTTTTGTTGTGTTTCACCCCAATAAAAGGCTGTTTTGGGAGGAGGGTTGTGCTGGTTTGTGTTGTTTATTTTCAGTTTTCTCTTGGATTCGCTTCAAGAGCTTTATGCCCCCAAACAAACATTGCCCTGTGAAAAAAAATCCAGGAATTCTCTAATTTTCCTGTTCCTGGCACGTTCTTACCTTGCTTTCATCCTCTGTAGCTGATGGGAATGTCAAAATCTGCTGCCTCTCAATGAAGGCTTTGGATAAATTAAAAAATAAACTAAATAAGCCTGGCAGGAGCTTTGTCTGGCACTGAGAGAATTCCAGCTGCTTTATCCCATTGTTTTTAAGGTCGATAATAAATATCCTGTCCCTGCACACCATTTGAGAAGTCCTGATGGCTTCAGATTCAATGGAATAAGGAAGGATTTGGGCAATAAAAGACAAAAATTCATTGTAAGAGATAATGATATCACTTCAATATTATTTTTTTCCTTCATATTCCTGGAAAACCACCAGAAAAAATATTGTTTGGAAAGCATGCCAGAAAAAATATGGTTGGTTCCTTGCCCATACGAGTCTGAAGAGCAAAGAAAACAGAAATAATTTGTCTTAAACAGGTTTTTTATATGAAGCAAAAAGGAAAAAAAAAAAAAACCAGCTGATTTGTGGCTTGATTTTCTGGCTGAGAACTCTTGTGTTGTTTTTTTATAAATATGATGCTCTGTTGTTTATACTTGCAAACCTAATTAATGTTAGAGTGCTCAGAGCTTTTAGTTGTGAGGATTTAATAAATTTAATCAGCACAGGGCCCAGAAAGAGGCAGTTCATGAGCCATAAGAAATAGCACAATGTCCCCTAAGTGTGGTAGAAATGCCAACGTGCTGAATACACTGAATTTTTTTGCAGCTTTTAGCCCCAGGTTCATGACTTGTGTGGGGCTGTTCAGTGGTGGAAATTCACTGTCGTTCCATGTGGTTAAACTGGGAAAACTTAGGGAAACAAAGTAGGATTTACAGGGATGGTTATCCCTGTCCTGTTTCCCATTACAAGGTTAAAAAAAAGGTTTAAAAAAAAAAAAAACAAAACAAAACCCCCCTGTTAATGAGCAGATTAGTCATGGTGAATGTTGGTAATGCTTTGTTAATTCCCGAGGCTGCTCCGTAACCAGAGATGTCAACGCTCTGCTCGTGTGCCTAAAAACCATGGAAGTGTGTGCTGGAATCCCTGGGGATTCCTGGGGTTTTATTAATTCCTTGTGCTGCTCCTGCAGTTCCAAAAAGGGACCCCTGGAGCCACGTTCTGCCTTTCATTAACCCCTTGACGTCAGTGGGTTGCCAGAGAATGAGGATGAGGAGGATTTAATCCTTTATGTCCCAGCAAAGCCTTTTTCTGCTTTCTGGAAATGAGGGAATCAGCTGCTCCTTTCACTCCCTTAATGGCCAAAATTACTCTTTTTTTCCCTGAAAAAAAATAAAAAAATCTTCATTTTGGCTGTCAAATCACAGTTTAGAAGATTGGTTGTTTTCTTAGAGGTGGCCACGCTGAGATCCTGCTCCATTGTGGATCCTTTTTTTTTCTGCTTCTGCACTTCTCATAATCTTTGTCAGCGTTGTTTCATTCCCTAAACTGGAATAAAATTCATTCCCAAGAGGGATTTTGGGAATGGAGGCCTCACCCTTGCATGGTTTATTATTTATATTTATTTATACAGGTGATGTTATCGGGACGACAAGTGCTTCAGTGGCAGAGCCAGTCCCAAATCTTTCTGGCACCCCAGGGGGACATTTGGGGCTTTTGTTCTGTTTTTGTTCTGTTCTTGTGTCGTGTCCCCTCATCACCTCAGAGATCCCTTGGTGTGTCCCCCTCATCACCTCAGAGACCCTTTGGGGTGTCCCACCATCACCTCGAGACCCTTTGGGGTGTCCCACCATCACCTCAGAGACCCTTTGGAGTGTCCCACCATCACCTCAGAGACCCTTTGGGGTGTCCCACCATCACCTCAGAGACCCTTTGGGGTGTCCCCCCAAATCACCTGAGGGCCTCCATCACCTCAGAGCCCCCACACCCCCCTCCATGTTCTCCCCATCACCTGAGGGACCCTTTGGGGCTCCCCCTCAGGGTCTTCATCACCTCAGAATCTCCTCCTTGTCCCCCCCATCACCTCAGGGACTGTTTGGGGTGCCCCCATCACCTCAGGGACTGTTTGGGGTGCCCCTCATCACCTCAGGGTTCCCCATAGCAGCCCCTCTTTGTCCCTCCCATCACCTCAGGGACCCTCACGGTCTTCATCACTTCAGAACTCCCTCACCCCCTCTCCGGGGTGCCCCCTCATCGCCTCACGATCTCCATCTCAAGGCATCCATCACCTCAAAGCCCTCACACCTCCCCGTTGTGGCCCCTCAGGGACCCCTGTGGGACGCGCTCCCTCCATCACCTCAGCACCCCCATCCCCTCAGGACGCCGTGGGGTACCTCCCACCGCACCCCACCCGCTCGGGGGCCCCTTTAAGCGCCTCTTTGTCTCCGCGGCACCCTTATTTACCCTGCCGAGCCTCAGCCGAACTTCGGCCCCGCGTTTCACAAAGCCCGGCACGTCACGGGCGGGGGCGGGACTCGAACCCGCGCCGCCCATTCAACAGCGCCCCCTGCCGGCTACGCACATTGCGTACGCCCCGACAGCGCTGTGCCTTCCGCGGCGTACGCTACGCCAGCGAGCTGCGTACGCTACGCAAGCAGCGCAAACACCCGCTGTCTTAACCTGCGTGCCGCGCTACGCAATCGGCGTAAGCGGCGGAGAGGGAGGCGGGTGTTGGCGTTGAGCGACGCGCGCTGCGGCCAATGGGAGGGCGGGGCGGGGCGCGGCGGCCAATGGGCGGGGAGGGGGGCGTGGCCGGCCGGGGCGTCTCGCGCTGGGTGACAGCTCGCGCGTGCTGGTGATGGCGGTAAATAAAGGGGACGGGGGGGGGGGGGGGGGGCACACAGGGGACGCGACCCCTCATGAGGGCAGGGAGGGACTGAGGGGTGCGGGCGTGTGGGCGCTGAGGAGGAGCAGAGGAGGGGTCTTTGCTGCTCCCCCCCTCAAAGGGACACCCTCCCCTCCCCTCCTCCGTGGGGGCTGAGGCGGACCCCGTCACCCTCCTCCTCCTCTCCATCCATGGCGGGGGTCGCCGCCTTTGTGTGCGGGCGGGACCCCCGCGCCGGGCTCGGCGGCTCCGTAACTTTGCCTTTGTTGAGAGAACATCCTCCCCTCTCTGCACATTTTCCCCCACCCTCATCCTCGGGATTCGCTCCCCTTCATCCTCCCCCGTCTCCCCTTCATCCTCCCCCGTCTCCCCTTTATCCTCCCCCCACTCCCCTTCATCCTCCCCTCACTCCCCTTCATCCTCCCCTCCCTAAAACCCCCCAAATCCCCTTCCCCCTCCTTCTTCCCGGGACCCTCTTCCCCCTTCCCCAAAACCCTGAGGGAGTCGTGGCTGTGCTGGGAGGAGGGAAAAAAAAAAAATAACCAAAACAAACATTTAAAAACTCCCTTTAAACCTCTGTGCTGAGCTGGAATGGGGAAAGGGCACGAAAACGGGGGAAATTCGGTGCGGGTTTGTGTTTATTTAGGGAAAAAACAAGCTTAAAAATCCGTGCGTTTGTGTCCCCAAAAAGGGGGGAAAGCTGAACTTGATCCGGAGGAGAGCTTGGGGTCAGCTTCAGGCAGCAAATCTGCTCCAAAATCTCTTTTTTTAAGCCTCCAAGGGGGTCCCCCCTTGCCAGGAGGGCTCCCGGAGCTTCAGGCAGCAAATCTGCTCCAAAATCTCTTTTTTTAATCCTCCAAGGGGGTCTCCCTTTGCCAGGAGGGAATCACGGATTTGGGATAACCGAGCCCTTAAAAACGGGAGTCCAGTGCTGGAAAAGCTGCTAATTTAAGGAAAAATCGCCTTTTAATCGCTTTACACGTAGGGAACGAGCCTGATTCTTGTGTCAAAACAGCTCCAGGTCGAACGGCGTGGGGAAAGCATCCCGTTATCCCGAAATATTGAAGCTGGGAGAGTGGGAAGTTGACTTCGCGGAGTTCTTCGCTGTAGTTTTTTAGTCAGGGAGAGATGCCTGGAGTGGCTGGGCTCGTCTGCTGTGAAACGATGCGAAATTTGGTCCTTTCACGCTCCGCTGCCTCAGGGAAAAGACGCTCCTGGAGCCCAGGGAAGCAGGTGGTGATTCCAGGGAAAACCGATGGATTTCAGCGGGAATTTTTCATGCAGCAGTCAGGCGTTCTTGGGAGGAAGAAAGGCAGAAAGCAGCGGATTAAAAGGGATGATTTGTGGGGCTGGAAGCAAAAAATCAGGTGGTGTGGAGAGGGCTGAGAGCTGAGGGAACGTGGCTGGGATGTGGGAATGAGGATGGGAGGAAGAGCTGGAGGATGAGAGGGGATCAACGAGTGGAATTGTGAATTAAAAACTCCCTGTGGATCCGAGCAGTGGGGATTAAACTTGGATTAAGTGTTGCTGTAAAACGTTGGGAGCTGCCCCATGTGGAATTTTCACCAAAATTTGGCTGCTCTGCCTCAGCCAGCTGCCCTGGGGGTACTCCTGTGGTTTTTGCAGGGTCAGAGAGGTTGGGTGATGTTTAAAAACCCAGAAAGGAGAAGGCAACAAAAGCGTTTGGGGTTTTATTTGGTGTTTTTAATTACCTTGAGAACGGGCTGGGTGCAGATATTTGGGAGTCATGTGCCAAGTGTGAGCAGCATTTGATGTCTCCGAGCTTTCAGCAAACCATAAATGTGCATTTATTCCTCCCCTGATCATTCTCCCAATGAATACGAGCTGACTCCAAGTGGAAAAGGGTGTTTGGAAGTTGGCAGATTTTTTTTTCCAGCGTGGAATAAGTCCGGGTTTTGTGCAAGCTGGGTTGGTTACAAGAGAATTTTGCTTGTTCAGGAACGAGGTTTGGACAATAGTCACACATGCAACGGGTTAGGGGCTAGAAAAGAGCCAAAAAAGCCCAAACTGGGGATTTTTTTTTGCTGTTGTGTGGCCAAGGATTGTTAGGAAGGAATCTCTTGCTGCAATT